GTCGCGCGCGACGGTGAAGGAGCCGCCGGCCTGCGACTCCCAGATGTACTGCTCGTCGTCGTTGTGCTTGGTGTGCACCACCACCTTGTCCGCCACCAGGTACGCGGAGTAGAACCCCACGCCGAACTGCCCGATCATGCTGATGTCAGCGCCAGCTGATAAAGCCTCCATGAACGACTTGGTGCCGGATCGCGCGATGGTTCCGAGGTTGTTCACCAGATCTGCACGACCACAGGATGCAAGAAAAACAAACGTCAGTGACCCAGATTTATCGAGGCCTGGCGAACTGCAGTCTTAGATTCAGTCACGTCATGAATTTGCCTGTTTCATTACAATTAACATTCATTTGACGCTGCTTTGATATTTAGAAAAGCGAAAGAGCGGGACGCACCAGCCTTGGTCATGCCGATGCCGGAGTCAATGATGGAGAGGGTCTTGTTGGTCTTGTCGGGGACGATGTGGATGAACAGCTCTGGTTGCTTGTCCAGCTTGCTCTTGTCCGTTAGCGACTCGAACCGAATCTTGTCCAGGGCCTGCACGCGAGCCGCAGCATCAGTACCCAATTAGTTAACGAGGCATGTGAGTTAATCATCTACTAGATTCAGAACGAAATCCAACTGGGAATACGGCGGTTATGGCTTACGTCAGATGCATTGGAGATGAGCTCGCGAAGGAAGATCTCCTTGTTACTGTAGAAGGTGTTGATGATCAGACTGAGCAGCTGGTTGATCTCAGCCTGAAACGCGAACGTCTCCACATCGGTACCCTGAGCTTCTGAAGCCATGGCGTGTCGTCACTAACGGCGATCAAGAAGTTAGCGAAAGAGTAACTTAGAGAATCAACCAGGAAGCACGCCGAAGCAGGAAGTGAGATCGTTAAAACTGGATTGGCAGATAAACGTCCTCGTAGCAGTTGCTGATAGCACAGCAACCGAAAAGCAGATCAAGAATTCACAAGCTATGGTTTGTGTGGAACGAATATAAATCTGTTCGAAGCTAAACCCTCAACAGCACGCACAGATCGCAGCCCGCTTGGCGCTCAAAGGTTTCGGGAGACAAGCCACGTGGAAGCTTCGAGAATGTAATGGTTCTTTGGCGAAGCGGCGAATACACTCGTATGCTGGCGACAGATGACGTGGACGGAATGTGAAGGAAGTTCTTGCTTCGCGACCTTCACGAAACCATTTCAGCCAATTAAAAAGCAACTGATCCAGGGATACGTCGTTCAGAAAGTTCTTCGGACCCACTAGACCGAAAAATCTGTTCCGTTCCTTCCAACAGATTTGACATTTTTTCGAGAAGGATCTAACGGTTCCGCTACAATCTCCGAGGTCGGACTACGACACCAGTATACTGAAGTGATTGCAAGTACACACTTGAAGAAACTCATATGTTAGCATGAAAGGAAAGCCCAAAATGCAGAGGTAGAAGTCCATCTAGCATGAGGCCATTTCACCACCAGGTATGCTCTGGTAAAGTGTATTCTTCACTGTTGTTTTTACAGCACTAAAATGCCGGACAAAGACATGCAGTACTGCATGAAGAACACTGATTCCTTCTCCATGAAAAAAAGAATGGCTTCATATTCAGCACCTACAGTATTTTCCCAGTGTACACCTTCCTACCTTCTGCATCATACCGGTAAAACGACACACTAGCATCAACACCATGCACCACCACAAGCCAGCCATCCTGCCTGCACCAAATCCTACCCCCACGACGACCATCTCGTTCCCGACTGCAACAGCGTCCGCGAATACCCCCCTCCCGCCCCTCTCCCTTCCCCTCCACCTCTATCCCCTCCTCCACCTCTATCCCCTCCTCCACCATCTCCCCCATCCCCCCTCCCCGCACCAGGGGGAAACCCACCCGCAAACCCCGAAGGCAGAGGGCGAATCATGTTCATGGACTTGGGAGCCTGGCCCTGCTTGCGCTGCCGGTCCTCCTGCTCCATGGCTCTCAGCTTGCTCTGAATCGCCGCCACCCTTGCCCGCTTCGCACTGTCTGCTGCCGATGCTGTCGCCACCGCTGCTCCTGCACCCCCCCCTCGCCCCACACCTGCCGCCCCAGCAGCACCCGGAGCACCAGGAGCAGCAGCAGCAGCAGCAGCGGTGGCAGGCGTAGTGGCAGTGGTGGCGGAATTTCGGTTCCAAACAGGGGCGTCAGTGTTGTATGTGACCACCTTCTCATCCACGAATCGCACCACCAGTGGACGCCCAAACACCATCCGACCGTTCATTTTGGATCGCGCCAGCTCAGCTTCCTGATAAATGGGGAAAAATGGTGTAAATGGAGAGGTCGTGTGAATAGGAGGTCATGTGAGTGGGGAGTTGGTGTGAGTAAGGAGAAGATAGAGTGAGGGGGAAGATGGTTTTAGCCCAACCATGAGTTAGACGGCCCTCTTACTGTGCACTTCAACAAGTCTCACTCTCGTCCAGAACTCATTTCTCATTTCCTAAATCCCCACCTCCCCTCTCCACGCCACCAACCTCCTCTGCTCTGCTCCACTGCACTCACCTCTCGCTTGCTGTACTCAACAAAGGCGTAGCCCCGAGGTTCGCCGCGCTTGGGCCCGTACGTGTGCCACAGATACTCCTCTCGACGGATCTTGCCGTACGGCGTGAACATCTTGATCACGTGGTACCTGCGGGATGAGCAGCATGGGACAGTCAGCATGGCACATGGCGATAAAGCGGTGACTTTTGAATCGACTGAAAGGTCACGTTGCCGTTCGGGGTGAACAACTTGATCACGTGATACCTGCTGGAGCGCGCAGCAGGTATGTATGCCAGGTGGCATGAATACTGCCACGTGGTCCAAACACCAAGGTCACATGGTACCTGCAGCGCACGCAGCATGCAGCACTTGCCTCAAACAGGCACCCTTGCAGGTGCACCACTCACTCCCTCACCCAGAGTTTCCCACACCACAACTCAATATTGATATACGTGTATCATATATCTGCGTGTACATGTGTGTGTGTGTGTGTGTGTGTGTGTGTACGCGCGTGTAGATATATACATATATATACATATGTGTTAATACATTTACATGTGTATCTAAACCACTCACTCGGTGACGCGGTGGTCCAGGTTGCCCACATACAGCTTGTTCTCCGTGCGCTCGTCTGGCGGTGGGCCCGACCTGCCTGACGACTCCTGTGGATGGGAGGGTGCGGAGGAGGGAGGGAGGGGGCGCGGAAGGGGTGGGGGAGGAGAGAAGGTGAATGGAGCGGAAAGGAGAGAACTGGGAGGAACCAGGGGGGTAGGGATGCGGAAGGCAGCGGGGGGGAGGGAAGGGGGAGGGAACGGGGGGAAGGGAAGGGGGAGGAAGCGGGGGGGATTGAAGGGGGGAGAAAGCGGGGGGGATTGAAGGGGGAGGAAGCGGGGGGGATTGAAGGGGGGAGGAAGCGGGGGGGATTGAAGGGGGGAGGAAGCGGGGGGGATTGAATGGGGAGGAAGCGGGGGGAATTGAAGGGGGGAGGAAGCGGGAGGGATTGAATGGGGAGGAAGCGGGGGTAAAGCTATCGTGGTGAAGCTGGTTGGCGTTGGAGCTTTCTATATGAAGGCGACAAATCGAGAGAGGAGAAACGAATGAAGGTAAGGAAGCAAACGAACCGTGCGTCGAGTTTTGGTGCGAGATGAAGTCGTCATCTAGGTACGAACCTTACGTTTGTCGTACGGATGCGACCTCGACGACGGTCTATCCCGACTCGCCTTCCCTACGCCGCCGTCCATTACCGCGAACCCAAGTGGCTTATCCCTGTCTACCGCTGCTTATCGCGGTCTACCGCTGCTTATCGCGGTCTACCCTAGTCGGAACAGACGCCAATTATCGCAGCCAGCCTCAGAATCCTTCTGTAGCCGCCCCTGCTGCTCGCAACGGGTCGAGCTCACGACTGCACGACGACGGTGAGTGCGCTGTTCCCAGTAGCGCTGTAATCTTCTACATTAGTTGGCCCGACTAAGGGGATTACCAGAAGAAGGTAATTACTCGCAGGACAAACAAGAAGAGCCTTAACGAGCGCACCGATAGGTCGACCTTTCGCAGCCTCAAGCTGATTCCTCTCTCCAAGAATCAATACACAGTCAAAGCTACGAGTGGCAGACGGATTTAAGAATCATATGCCTTGAGATTCTACAAATTCGTGGCCAAGAACACGAGCGGGAGGCGTCGTGCCACGTGGCAGCTACGGTACTCGCTTAGGTCGGATGACACTCAGGCAAAAGAAGGCGATGCGAAACGGTAACGAGCGAGGAGCGCGACACGCGTCTGGCTGCCAAGGAAGACGTTTTAACTCCTAGACCTAAGCAAGAGGTATGTCTTGTGCTTCTGCCGTGTCAGCCGCGAGCCGCGTGGATTGTTTTGTATCGCATCGCACGGTTGTCGTGGTTGTTGGTCAGTCAGCGAGCGATCTGGCGAACAAGAGGCGAGATTCAACAACACTGCTGTCGCATGAAAACCGTCCCCAAGAACTCTCGAGGTTTTGTTGGCGAAAGCGGGGTTCTTTCGTTTAATATGAAAGGTTTTCGTTGAGGGGGGTTTGGAGGTTTCGCCGGTCTCGCCAAAACCAAGACTCGAAACGAGGTTCGGAAGATGGTTCTGGAGGTGTCCCGTGGGCTTGGTGGGTACGCTTTTCATTTCAACCACTTCAAACAAACACGGGTTCAACTGTTTTCGAGAAACCAATTGGTATCTGGGTGGTTTGGAGAGGGTTTGAAAACGTCTTCAGAACGTTTACAAGCGGTACAACCAGATTTTTATCGGTGAATAAAACCAGGTCACCGGCAGAATGAGAGAATGGTAATTCCCCAGGCCTTGAACACTCTCCAAATCGCCCACTTGTTTACCCCGGGTTACAATATTCGGGGATGGTCATCACTCCCATAACTATTTAGGTGTCGAGCAGGCCTTGGATCTAATCGCAGAAGGGAGCCTCCTCCTCCACCGATTCTCGCTTAGCTTCCTTTGTTAAGCTTTGCAAGATCTACTAGCGCTAAGATGTCGAGCAGAAAAGAGGAATTTCGGAAAGGATCTCGACTTAAGCACGAGGACGGTGACGGTCACCGACGGAAGGCGTTCCGGAGGCCGACGGAGGGCGACTCGGGTGACGATTATTCGTCTGAAGAGGACGCGGTGCCGAAGGGAAAGCGTGCGAAGGAAGCTGTCGCGTCGCGAGGCCGAGGCGCGGATCCTGGCGAAAAGGTGAAGGTGGCGAAACGCTCTGCGAGCGACAAGCGAGGGAAGGGCGCTGCTGATGGGTCGCTCAAGGATCGGCCGAAGGTTCAGTATTCGTCGGATGAGTATTCGGCGGAAGACGACGAGGAGGCCGATATCATGCATAGAAAGAAACGCGACGGGATGCACGGGAGAGTCAATGGCGATGGGAAGGCGAAAGAAGGGAAATGCGTGAAGGGCGACGAGGGGAACTTAGGTGTCTCGGGAAATAAGGAGTCCGGGAAAGTGAGTTTTAAGAAGGGAAAAGCGACTCGAGGCGATGAGGAGGACGGTGAAAGGGAGGAAAAGGGTGGGAAGGGCAAACGGTCGTTTCGGCCTGGTAGGAGGGACGAGGAGAGCGACGACTGGGACGAGGAGGAGGAGGAGGAGGATGGACCAGAATTGGTTAAGCGGGAGGTGAAGGGGGGACTGGCGCGAAGGGAGGAGGATGCGCGGAGGAAAGGGGGTGAGCGCGAGGGGCGCGAGGTGGGGCGGGAGAAGGAGAGGAGCAAAGGGCGAGAGAGGAGCGAGAGGGAGAGGAGCGAGAGGGAAAGGAGTGAGAGGGAAAGGATTGAGAGGGAGAGAGCGGACGATCGAGAGAGGGAAGAGCGAGCGAGGGAGAAGATGCGGTGGGAGAGGGAGAGAGAGAAGGAAAGGGAGAGAGAGAGGGAGAAGGAAAGGGAGAGGGAGAGGGAACGGGAGAGGGAGAGGGAGAGGGAAAGGGAGAGAGAGAGGAGGGAGAGGGAAAAAGAGCGAGAAAGACGGGAAAGAGAAAAGGAGAGAGAGAGGGAAAAGGAACGGGAGAGGGAAAAAGAGCGGGAGAGAGAGAAGGAGAGGGAGAGGGAAAAGGAGAGGGAAAGGGATCGCGAGTCGAGAAGGCGAAGGAGAGAGGCGGACGATGAAGGGGATGATGGGGGGAGGAAGGCGCAGGGGGAGGAGGGGCGGCGGAAACGCGCCAAGGAGGATGAGGGTGGGCGGGGCGAGAGAGGCGCAGAGGCGAAGGGGGAGGAGAAGGGGAAGGGGAAAGAGGAGGGGAAGGGGAAGGATAAGGGGAAAGAGGAGAAGGGGAAGGATAAGGGGAAAGAGGAGAAGGGGAAGGAGGATAAGGGGAAGGAGAAGGGGAAGGGCGGCGAGGGGGAGGAGGAGATGGACGCGGAGCAGCGGAGGCTGGCGGAGGAGATGGAGAGGCGCAGGCGGCGAGTGCAGGAGTGGCAAGAGCAGCGGCGGAAGAAGGCGGAGGAGGAGCAGGCGCGCGCTGCTGCAGGCGCAGGGGGGGAGGGCGGAAGCGGGGGCGCGGAGGGGAGTAGCGCGGCGCAGGCGGATGGGGGAGGGAAGGGGCGCGGGTGGACCCTGGATGGGGAGTCGGATGATGAGGAGGAGAAGGGCGGGGGTGGGGATGTGGAAGGGAAGGAGGGGAAGGGGGGGAAAGGAAAGGGGAAGGAGAAAGTGGAGGAAGAGGGGGAGGGAGAGGAGGGACGGAAAATGGATTTGGACGAGGAAGGGGAGGGAGAGAAGGGAGAGGACGAAGAAGAGGGAGAGAAGCAGAAAAGGGATCTGAAGGGGAAGGGCAAGGAGGAGGAGGAGGAGGCAAAGGGGGTTACAGCAGAGGAGGAGGAGGAAGTGGATCCTCTCGACGCGTTCATGAACTCGCTGGTGCTCCCAGAGGTCGCCAAGCTAGACGCCAAGGATGCCGCCCGCCCCGCCGCCGCGGCGGGAAGTGTGGAGGCTGCAGCGGGCGGCAGCAGTTCGTCCCAAGCTGCCAACGGTGGCGATGCGCTGATGGGTGCGGGGACTGGTGGAGGGGCGGACAAGGGTGGCGGCAAGGGGAAGAAAGAGAAGGGGAAAGAGAGAGGGAGAGAAGAGGGGAAGAGGAAGGCCAAGGGGCCCAAGGGGCGCATTGTGTTTGGAGTGGACTCTGAATCAGACGATGAGATGGGTGGGGCAGGCGAGTCAGGCGACGAGGAGGAGGGTGAGGAGGGAGGGGAGGGCAAGAAGGGAGAGGAGGAGGATGAGGATTTTGTGAAGCGAGTGACGGCCGTGGCTCAGACCAAGGCAGAGAAACTCGCCCCTGTGGACCACTCCCAGGTGCGTTTTGATGTGTTCCGCTCTTTTGTAAAGTCTCAGAGCATTGTTTCAGGCAGGCTCCAACCGTGATGGCCATGGCGTGGCGTGGCGCAGACCAAGGCGGAGAAACTCGCCCCTGTGGACCACTCCCAGGTGCGCTATGAGCCTTTTCGCCCGTTTGAGGTTGAGATTTCTCAGGAAATTTTTGATTCAGCTCTCATGCGTCTCAGATGATCATTTAGGCGCTTGAGACACTAGATTTTTTTCACTAGATTTTTCAAAACGCCTGAACAGTTTCAGAAGTTGTTTTGTTGCGCTCCTCCGTGAACCACTGGCAGGCAGGTGCACTATGAGCCGTTTAGGAAAAAAAAACTTTTACAGGGAGGTGAAGGAGGTGGCAAAAATGACAGCAGACGAAGTGGCTCTGTATCGGCGCGAACACGAGTTCAAGCCACGCAAAGTGGACGTGCCTAATCCAGTGCCTGAGGCATCTCACAAGTCCCTTACTTTACCACCCCCTCCCTCCATCGCCTCACCCCCCCCACCCCCTCCCACCTTCCCCTTTCCCCACCCGTTCCCCTGTCCCCTTCTTTCCCGGGCGACTCACTGGCAGGTGCATTACGAGCCGTTCAGGAAGAATTTCTACAAGGAGGTGAAGGAGGTGGCGAATATGACAGCGGACAAGGTAGCTCTGTATGTACCGCCGCGAGCACGAGTACAAGCTGCGGGGGAAGGACGTGCCCAAGCCGGTCCCTGAGGAGCCTCACCCCCCACTCTCCCCCACCCTCCTCCCTCTCCCTTTCCTCCCCTTTGTGCTCCGTCCCTCCCTTTCCCATGACTCACTGGCAGGTGCACTACGAGCCGTTCAGGAAGAATTTCTACAAGGAGGTGAAGGAGGTGGCGAGGATGACAGCGGATGAAGTGGCTTTATACCGCCGCGAGCACGAGTTCAAGCTGCGCGGCAAGGACGTGCCCAAGCCGGTGCACACGTGGGTGCAGAGCGGTTTGAGTAATAAAGTGCTGGATGTGCTCAAGAAGATGGGGTTTGAGAAACCGATGCCGATCCAGGCGCAGGCGCTGCCGATTGTGATGAGCGGACGAGATTGCATTGGGATTGCCAAGACTGGTTCTGGGAAGACGTTGGCATTTGTTCTGCCCATGTTACGGCACATCATGGACCAGGTACGGCACATCATTTGTTCTTCCCATGTATTGGGAAGACGTTGGCATTTGTTACGGCACATCATGGACCAGGTATGGCACATCATTTGTTCTTCCCATGTATTGGGAAGACGTTGGCATTTGTTACGGCACATCATGGACCAGGTACGGCACATCATTTGTTCTTCCCATGTATTGGGAAGACGTTGGCATTTGTTACGGCACATCATGGACCAGGTACGGCACATCATTTGTTCTTCCCATGTATTGGGAAGACGTTGGCATTTGTTACGGCACATCATGGACCAGGTACGGCACATCATTTGTTCTTCCCATGTATTGGGAAGACGTTGGCATTTGTTACGGCACATCATGGACCAGGTACGGCACATCATTTGTTCTTCCCATGTATTGGGAAGACGTTGGCATTTGTTACGGCACATCATGGACCAGGTACGGCACATCATTTGTTCTTCCCATGTATTGGGAAGACGTTGGCATTTGTTACGGCACATCATGGACCAGGTACGGCACATCATTTGTTCTTCCCATGTATTGGGAAGACGTTGGCATTTGTTACGGCACATCATGGACCAGGTACGGCACATCATTTGTTCTTCCCATGTATTGGGAAGACGTTGGCATTTGTTACGGCACATCATGGACCAGGTACGGGGGGAGAAAGGGCGTGGGGGGTTTGGGAGAGGGCGTAGCGTGGCATATCAGGGCCCCGGTGAGAGTCGGGTGAGAGAGAGGGTTTGGGCGTGCCATGCTGATCCAGGCGCAGGCACTGCCGTTCGCGATGAGCCGAGTGACTTTTGAGTCGACTCAAAAGTGACTTTTGAGTCGACTCAAAAGTCGTTTGGGCGTGCCATGCTGATCCAGGCGCAGGCACTGCCGTTCGCGATGAGCCGCATTGGGATTGCCAAGACTGTTTCAGGGAAACCGCTGGCATTCGTGCTGCCCATGCTGCGACACATCATGGACCAGGTAAGGGGGGGGGGAGTGGTGTGGGGGGGGAGTGAGGGGGTGGGGGGAAAGAGAGGGCTGTGAGAGGGGCTGATTTGACACATGTTGCTCGAACTCACGCTGTTCATGGTGCGACACATCATGGGACCAGGTGGGTGAGGGAGGGGGAGGGAGGTGAAAAAGGGGGGGGGGGGGAATGGGAAAGGGAATTCCATGGCACAGTATGGATTTGGTTAGGGGAGGGCGTTTGAGCGGGGAAGGAAGATTCGAAAAAAATCAAAATAGGGGTAGCATGATACTCTAGGGGGGAGGTAGCATATCAACGAACTCAAGCTTTCCCGTGGTTCCTTTTGCCTTTTCCATTCAATTTTCTTCCCTTCCCTTCCCTTCCCTTTCCTTCCCTTCCCTTCCCTTCCCTTCCCTTTCCTTTCCTTCCCTTCCCTTCACTTCCCTTCCCTTCTCGGTCCTCCCTCCCCTCCATTCCCCCTCACCAGCCCCCACTGCAATCAGGGGACGGCCCAATAGGTCTCATCCTGGCCCCCACGCGTGAGCTCGTGCAGCAGATCTACGCCGACATCCGCCGCTTCGCACGCCCCCTCGGCCTCTCCTGCGTGCCCGTCTACGGCGGCTCCGGCGTGGCCCAACAAATCAGCGAACTAAAACGCGGCGCCGAAATAGTAGTCTGCACGCCCGGGCGAATGATCGACATTCTGGCGACGAGCAACGGGCGGATTACCAATCTGAGGAGGGTGACGTATCTGGTGCTGGACGAGGCGGACCGCATGTTTGACATGGGATTTGAGCCGCAGATCGGGCGGATTATCGGCAATACCAGGCCGGACCGCCAGACTGTATTGTTCTCGGCGACTTTTCCCCGGCAAGTGGAGACCCTTGCACGGAAGGTCCTCACCAAACCGATTGAAATCCAGGTGAGCGATGCCGCCTCCTCTCTCTCACTCTCTCCCTTGGTCTCAAGAATCTGAGGAGGGTGACGTATCTGGTGCTGGACGAGGCGGACCGCATGTTTGACATGGGCTTTGAGCCGCAGATCGGCAGGATTATTGGAAACACATGGCCGGACAGGCAGACTGTATTGTTCTCGGCGACTTTCCCGCGCCAGGTGGAGACGCTGGCGCGGAAGGTCCTCACCAAGCCCATTCATTGAGATCCAGGTGAGCGATGCTGCCTCCTCTCTCTCACTCTCTCACTCTCTCCTTTGGTCTCACGAATCTGAAGAGAGTGACGTATCTGGTGCTGGACGAGATGGATGGATCATTGGGAACACGAGGCTCGACCGGCAGACGGTGCTGTTCTCGGCGACTTTTCCCCGCCAGGTGGAGACGCTTGCGCGGAAGGTCCTCACCAAGCCCATTGAGATCCAGGTGGGTGATTCTCTGTCTGTCATCCCCTCTCTCTCCCTCTCCAACGGTCCGTTGTCGTCTGCACACCCGGGCACGTGATCGACATTTTCGCCACCAGCAACGGGCGGTCACAAACCTTTCTTCCCTGTCCCCATCACTCCAACCCTATGCTCGTTCCTGAATCCCCTCCACTCTCCCCCCCTCCGCCCGTCCTCCCCCTCCGCCCCTTCCCAGGTGTGTGGGCGCAGTGTTGTCAACAGTGACATCACTCAGACCATCGAGGTGCGCCCCGAGGGAGAGCAGCGTTTCCTGCGGCTCCTCGAGCTGCTGGGCGAGTGGTGCAACAAGACAAGGGCAAGATCCTGGTGTTCTTTGAGAATTCTCAAAAAACATACGATCCTGGTGTTCGTGCACTACCCATCCTTCCCTTACTATTCCCCCCTCCCCATCTCCTGATCCCCCTCCACAGGTGGGTGGGCGTAGCGTGGTCAACAGCGACATCACTCAAACCGTGGAAGTGCGCCCTGAAGGCGAGCAGCGCTTCCTGCGTCTCCTCGAGCTACTAGGCGAGTGGTGCGACAAGGGCAAGATCCTGGTGTTTGTGCATTCCCAGGACAAGTGCGACGCGCTCTTCCGCGACCTCCTCAAGTCCGGCTACCCCTGCCTCTCCCTGCATGGTGCCAAGGACCAAACAGATAGAGAATCCACCCTCCAGGACTTCAAAACCAATGTGTGTAATCTGTTGGTAGCGACCAGTGTCGCGGCTAGAGGGCTCGATGTGAAGGAGCTTGAGTTAGTGATAAACTACGATGTGCCGAATCATTACGAGGATTATGTGCATCGGGTGGGGAGGACCGGGAGGGCTGGGAGGAAAGGGTGCGCTGTGACGTTTATCAGCCCGGAGGAGGATCGGTTCGCGCCGGACCTGGTCCGAGCCTTGGAGCTGTCGAAGCAGCCGATTCCGGAAGATCTTAAAGCCATGGCTGATGCGTTCACTGCCAAGGTGAAGGCCGGGAGCGTGGTTGCGCACGGGAGCGGGTACGGCGGGAGTGGCTTTAAGTTTAACGAGGAGGAGGAAGCTGCTAAGAAGGCGCTGAAGAAGGCGCAGGCGAAGGAGTACGGTGTGGTGGTGGATGAGGAGGAGGGGGGCGAGGAGGAGGAGGAGAAAGAGGAGAAGGAGGGGAGCGGGGCGATTCGGAGAGTGGAGGCTCCGAGTGCGGGTGGTGCGGCCGCGTCGGCAGCGCAGAGTATCGCAGCGGCTGTGGCAGCTGCTGCGGCTGCAGCTGCAGCGAACAAGGCAGGGGGCGCTGTGCCGGCAGTGGCAGCAGCGGCAGCGGCGAATCCAATCCAAGCAGCTGTGCAGGCGAGGATGGCCCAGATGGGAATCACCCCTGCTGCTGGCGCTGCTGCTGTGCCAGGAGCTGCTGCTGCTGCTGCTGCCCTTGCCAACCCGCTCGCTGCCTCCCTCGTGGGAGCAGCAGCAGCAGGGGAATCAGCAGCGACGGCCATCGCCTCAGCAGCCGCCGCAGCCCCGACCCCGGTCTCCCGTGCAGCGGCCTTTGCAGCAGCCATCAGCCTGCAGCACAACTTAGCCAAACTCCAACCCGCCGAGCCCGTGAAAGCGCACTACGAAGCGGAATTCGAGATCAACGAGTTCCCGCAGCACGCGCGGTGGAAGATCACCCACAAGGAAACCCTTAACCAGATTATTGAATGGACGGGAGCGTCGGTGACCACGCGCGGGCTGTACTGCCCGCCAGGCAAGGCATTAGCGGCGGGGGAGAAGAAGCTGTACCTGTCGATCGAGGGGCCGACGGAGGCGAGTGTGAAGAAGGCCAAGGCGGAGATCAAGCGCATCATAGAGGAGGCCAGCGCTGCTGATGCATCCCACCAGCAGCGCCCCGTGCAGCCGGGGCGGTACTCGGTCATGTGATGGGTGGGCAGGGGGGGGAGGAACGCTGCCATATACTGGTGCTGTGTGCGCAGAGGGGGTAGGGGGGATGAGGTGAAAGGGGTGGGGGGGATGGGGGATTTGGCAGATGGGATGAACGCTGCTCTTGTGACTTGTCTCTACTCTGATGAGCACACATATGCTCCAGACTGCCCCAACTCAGTTGGGTCGTTGCTCAATTCTAACTGTGGGGCCTGGGTTTGGTGTCGGCAGAACCTGATTCATGTGACAGTTAGGCCATTGTCATTCCTCGTATACAGTTGACTCTCAGGACATGACAGTGCCCCATGTGAAAGTGCACTGTTCACAGGATGTTTTTTGTCATTACGTGGCCCTGGTTTAGTTAGTCCACTTGTTTGAAAAATCATCGCACACTATTATCACGTAATATATAATGGAAACATGCACCTGCTTATCTATCCTGGTGCAATAAATACAATGTGGCAACTTTTCACTGGACTTTGAGAAAAATTCCTGAACATCAAATTTCTTCCAAATAAACCTGCTTATATTGCGCATTAGGGGCGTGTACTTCGCGCACTCAGCTGTGATAGTGGTTTTGGCGAACAATTCGCACCGATACGTGATTATAACAAATCGCAGATATTCGCAGCTTTTCGCGAAGGGGTGCTTTGGAAGTAGTCGTGGGAGTTACTGAGCTTGGGACCTGGGGCTTGGTGCTCCACCAACCATCCCCGTCCATGGTTATGCTTCCAAGCTGAGCTGCTGGCAATTTCACAGACGCCCGCCCAATCTGACTAAGTACAGCAATAGATCTGGCAGATAGCTAGCCGTATTTGGCGGCAGGAAAAAATGTGGCGCCTTTTCAGCCGCCCCTTTCGTGCCCGTTTACGAGTCACAGCAGCCTCGCAGTTTAGAGAGACCTTTTTCACGTGCGACAATGCGCTTCTCCAATTATGAACTCACCGCCAGGTATTTCCCCGCCACGCCACGCTAGATCCACGCGGGAAACACGTCATGCTGGGCTAGGTCCAGCAAGAATGAGTGTCACCAGCTTCCATTCAAGTCCACGCGCTGCGGATGTCCGTGCCAAACCTAGGCAGGGCTCCGAAAACCACGTTTTGTTTTAACGCTGCAAAATGATGAAACCGAGGGCAAAGCCTTGCCGCAGATTCGTTTTCGGAAGCACCGGAAACACTCCAACCGTCCAATTTTCGCGTTAGCTGGCGGTACAGTCAGGGTAGCAGCAATGTGGACCACCCACTGCCGCGTCGCATTTTCCTCAGAGCGCAGTAAACGGGTGTGGGTGCCGAAGCTCCACCCAAGAGTGCCGAACCAACTCTCGAACGACGGCTCCTTCGTTAACGGGGAAAACCTTCGATGTGTGTCAGTAGAAATGGTCTCTTGACGACCATTTCTATTCAGTCACAGTTTGTTTGCTTCACACGCTCTTTCAGTCACTCGCACAGACCTCGTTCGGAAACCCTCGCTGCTCGAATGGACTCAGTTAACCCTGAAACGGTTCTTGCCGTTGCTCTTGCTGCTGCCTCGGCATTCGGAAACGCAGCGAGGTACCTGTGGGAGGTACCGAGCTGGTTAGACTGCCCTGCATTGAACTCGCTCCCGTTTGATTGCCTCTACGAATGGACGGCGGCTGATGACGCTCAGCTGAGAGCAGCACCGGCTGAACTCAGCGTGAGCGAGGAGCTGCTGCTCCTGTCTAAACTCACAGTAAGCTCCGCCGAGTTTATTACCGAGTGGACTGCTGAGGACGAGGCTTATCTGAGAGCGCCTGTCACAATTCGTCGTGCCACACTAACTGTGAGCGACGAGTTGCTGCTCTTGGCCGGAAACGTGGTGAACTCTGCTGATTTCATAACAGAGTGGACGGACGAGGATGAAAAATACCTGAGAAGCGGATTATTGAAATCGCACGATGGATGGAGCATTGCCAAGTGGGTGGCGCAGTATGATTCGTTTAACACGGCCGAATTTGTCACTGAATGGACGGAAGCGGACGAGGCGTATTTGCGGAATCAGGTGATCCGGAGACCTGTGGAATGCAAGGCGATGACCTCCGCGGAGGTTGCTTTCAAGATGGGTCGGTTTGTTGAGGAGAACAAGAAGCGCCGGGAAATCCGCTTTGGAGTGCGGCTGGGCTTCTCGCCTTTGAGGCCCGCTTTCGCTACCACTGTTGCCTCTGCTGTGAGCACGCTGGCTGCTGCTGCAAGTGCTGCTGCTGACGCTCTTGGTGCTGCTGTTGCTGCTGCTGTGCCTGTGGTGGCTGCTGCTGCTGCGGATGCCGTTGCTGATGCCATTGCTGGCGCCGTTTCTGCTGCCTCTTCTGCTATGCCTGCTGCTGCTTCACCTGAAAAAGAGGTTTGCAATCCATCAGCACGATCAGCAGCGAAACCAGCCCGGTCAGTGGCGAAGCCAGCAGCCCCTTCAGCGGCTAAATCATCAGCTGTTTCTGCGTGCAAGCCATCAGCACGATCAGCAGAGAAACCAGCTCGGTCAGTGGCGAAGGCAGCAGCACCACCAGCAGCTAAATCAGCACCAGCAGCTAAATCAGCACCATCAGCAGCACCATCAGCAGCTCGGTCCGTGGCGAAGGCAGCAGCCCCTTCAGCAGCTGAAGTAACGGCTGTGGTGAAGCCTGCTGCGTGCAAGCCATCAGCACGCGCAGCAGCTTCGCCAGCAGGACGACCAGCGGTGAAAGCAGCAGCGAAATCAGCCACACAGCAGGCAGTGAAGCCGCCTGTGAAGGCAGCAGCCTGTGGAGCAGCAGGGAGAGGGACTGGAAAGGGAGAGGCAAGCAAGGTTGTTGCTGCAGAGAAAAGTGTCAGATGCAAGGTCAAGGTTTCTGAAGTGACTGTTGGAAAGCCAGCAATCAAGACATCAGAATCAAAGGCAAGACACGCTGCTCCTGCTGGCTCTAGTGGGGCTGCTGCTGCCACGAGCAGATTGAGAGGTTCAGTTTCGGCAGTGAAGGGGGAAGGGAAGAAGGGAGTGCAGGCAGCAGCAGGGAGCAACAGTGAGCTGCGAGGCCAGACTGCAACAGCAGCCTCGCAGAAACAGCAATTCCAGCAACCCAGGTGGAGGTGACGAATGTGATTTGCCACTAGCTCGTGTATAGGAAAAGTTGTACCTTGTATTGTATAGTTCGCTGATAGGGTTAAGATTGTTACTTGTAGGTTCATGTATATTAGGTCGTGCTATCATGATCATTGATGTGCATGTGACAAAATTGATACACAATTTGCAAGAGCTTGATTTGTTGTATGGGTTGCTGATCTCGTTGTTTGGGGCAGTTGAGGAAGCACGTGTTTGGGTCACATTGTTTGTATGCATGGTTGTTCATGCTACAGGAAGCACGTGTGTGCTGCATGAATGTGCTGCTTGGCATGAATGTGCTGCTTGGCATGAATGTGTTGCTTGGCATGAATATGTTGCTTGGCATGAATGTGCTGCTTGGCATGAATGTGTTGCTTGGCATGAATGTGTTGCTTGGCATGAATGTGTTGCTTGGCATGAACGTGTTGCTTCGCATGAATGTGCTGCTTGGTATGAATGTGTTGCTTGGTATGAATGTGCTGCTTGGCATGAATGTGTTGCTTGGCATGAATGTGTTGCTTGGCATGAATGTGTTGCTTGGCATGAATGTGCTGCTTGGCATGAATGTGTTGCTTGGCATGAATGTGTTGCTTGGCATGAATGTGTTGCTTGGCATGAACGTGTTGCTTCGCATGAATGTGCTGCTTGGTATGAATGTGTTGCTTGGTATGAATGTGCTGCTTGGCATGAATGTGTTGCTTGGCATGAATGTGTTGCTTGGCATGAATGTGTTGCTTGGCATGAATGTGCTGCTTGGTATGAATGTGTCAGTAGGCGTGAATGTGTCAGTTGGCGTGAATGTGTCAGTTGGCATGAATGTGTCAGTTGACTTGACATGAATGTGCCAGTTGGCATGATCTCTTTCAATTCATGTTCAATCGCCTCAACAAGGAGGAGAAGAAGGAAATGCCTTGAGAATCATGACTAGATCATTACTCCATGCCCCATATCCCTTACCCCAGCACTCACCCTCTCCCTGCACTTTCCCCCTCCCCACGTCCCTCACGCTCCCCCTCATCCCCTCCCTCTCATCCCCCTTCCCTCAGTGAGGGCCTCAACTGTGAGGCAAAGCAGTGGAGGATGTGGGGGTCAACATTTCTTTGAATGTGACTTAGACTGATTCAGACACTTTCTAAACTGCTGGCCCGCAATGAGGTGAGTTTCGGTGACTTTCACCTTGCAATCAGCTCAGCCATATTGCTACTTCTGACGTGGGGCTGCAACTTTAAAGTGGGAATCAGAACAGGAGAAAGGAGGTGCGTTTTGAGCTGGAACTGGTTGTTGTACCCATTTTGTCATTCCTCAGGCCTGATTTGTACCGCGTTCAACCGATTTCTACATGACGGTTTTGCATCTGTTCAGGGCAGTAGTCACTTCAGTATTCAGGTCAGTATACATTCAGTCTTGAGGTATCAATTCAGAGTTCATTCAATATTGAGGTATCAGGACAGTATTCATTCAGTGTTAAGTTATCAAAGCAAGATTCATTCAGCATTGAGGTATTAGGTCAGAATTCATTCAGTAATGAAGTATCGGGTCAGTATTCAATCTATGTGAAGGTATCAGGTCAGATTTCTTTCTGTTCTGAAGTATCAGGTTGGTATTGATTCGGTATTGAGGTATCAGGTCAGTGTTCATTCAGTATTTGAGGTATCGGGTTAGTATTCATTCAATGTTGAGGTATCAGGTCAGTATTTATTCAATATTGAGGTATCAGGTCAATATTCATTCAGTGTTCAAGTATCAGTTTTGAGGTATCAGGTCAGATTTCTTTACGTTCTTAAGTATCATGTCAGTATTGAGGTGTCCGGTCAGTATTAATTCAGTGTTCAGGTATCAGGTCAGTATTCATTCAATACTGAAGTATCAGGTCAGTACTCATTCAATACTGAAGTATCAGGTCAGTATTAATCCAGTGTTAAAGCTATCAGGTTAGCATAAAGTAAATATTGGGGTATCAGGACAGGCAGTATTCATTCTGTATTGAGGTATCAGGTCAGTATTCATTCCGTTAGTATTCTGTATTTAATATCAGTTCGGTATCCAATAGTCGTTAGTACATAGGTATCAGGTTGGTATTCTACATGAAGCCTTTTGCAGCTGGGTGGAGGGATGCCCTTTGACCAACTTTTTGCAGGCTGTGCCATCACGATTCACACCACCACGTGGAGCAGAGGAGACTGTGTTTGTGAATCAGATACCGCTCTTAACAGCTGACTGATTGTTAAAGCAAACGAACATTGGGGCCGACCTTGTGATGATTGGCTTTGGCACCATAGCATGCTTCATTGCCCATGTGTACAATTTCACTTTCCGCGTGTTGCTTCTGCTTGATGGCTGTTGCAGCATGTACTGTACATGCCAGACTGGCAATCCAATCAGTTTGTAGGAAACTCAAAAAGTCATCCAGGAAATGCTTTTTGCAGCCCATATGCAAGGCATTTTGACACAATTTATCTACACAGTTTGGCGCATGCTAAAGTGCCCAAAACAACAGCACCATGTAGAGATAGCCACTCCCAGCTGCTGGTGCATGCTTCAACGAGCAGAGGGAGTGAAGGGAGGGCGTGTTGTTGGACACCCGGCAATTGTAAGGAGACCTGATACATGTGCCCGAGCTTCTGAGGATTGCTACATACAGATGCTTTGTCTACATGAGCCGGTTGTGAATGCCTTGCCCTTGCGCCCGACAACCTATGCAATGCTGCTGCCGCTGCCGCCGCCACTGCTGCTGCTACTGCTGGTGTTTCTACATGAATCCAAACTCGTGCGCGCGTTGTGGCGGATGCTTTGCCCCACACGAGTCTGTCTGACATCCCGAGCAATGCTGCTGCTGTTGCTTCTCCTCCCCTCCCCTACATGAGCCCAAACCCCTGTGCGTTGTTGATGGCCGTGAGTAGCCGCGTGTGCAGCTGCAGAATGGGATGAGGATCAGAGATGGTGGAATGGGATATTGAAGAGAGATACCGTGGGAGAGTGCAAGGGATGAGGAATATAGCACAGGGGTGTATGCGATTGTATGGAATACACAGTGGCTGTATCACGGAGTACATATGTGTGATTGCATGGCATGGCAGTGGCAGAACCCATGGCACGAGTCACCAGAGGAACTCAGCAGCAGACCATGTCAATACCGATCGCAACGACAGAATCAAAGTTGTACCTGATTCCACACGTTGTGCGAGCCACCTTGTCGGGGTTGGAATATTCAAGCCGCGTTGTAAGAACTTTCCTAGCTCCGAGGGGTTTGAGCCTTGTTTTGTTCAGAGAGCTCACCTTCCCGAGGTTGGAGTATTCAGGCAGCAGCAGGTGGTTGAAACATGTGTGCGCTGCTGGCAGGGTTGAGACGTCTCAAGACTCACCATGTTCCCAGTGGTAACTCCTACCCTCACCAGGGGGCTTTAAGACCCACCTTGTCAATGTTGGAGTATTCGGGCAGCAGCAGGTGGTTGAAGCATGTGTGCGCTGTTGGTAGCCGGTCCGAGTCAGGACCTGGTGGGTGGTGGGTGGTGGGTGATGGGTGACAGGTGGTGGGTGATGGGTGGCGGGTGATGGGTGGTGGTTATAATAAACTTAAGGCCCGCTTTTGAGAGACAAGCTAAAGCAAGGTCAACCCCAGCTACGATGCAGAGAAAACGATGCGACATACTCGTTCCAATCACACTCGCTACAAGCACACTCACCACTGGGCCACCAGCAGCACATTGACACTGACCAGCTCTGGAAATGACGAAGGGCAGCGAGGCAAGGCCCTTGATTGGCGCCCTTATTGAGCTTTGAGACGTCTCAAAACTCCCAACACAGCAACTCTGACCGGCTAGCACACCCACCAACAGCACAGCAACACTGACCGGCTCGGGAGATGACAAAGGGCAGCGAGGCGAGACCCTTGATGGGCGCGCGGTCACACCCCGTCACAAACGCCAGTAGACTCCTCTTCTCCGCGTCCCCTAGCCCATGCACCACCTGGCGGAATTTGGGAGGGGGGGAAAGAAAGAAAATGGTGTGGTGAGGTGAGAGGACAACGCAAGCAGTGGTGAGGTGAGTGATATACACGCACATGCACTGCCTCGCAATCGCGAGAGGCGCGAGGGGAAGTGGGTGATGATGGGGCAACGCGAGCAGGATGGTGTGTCGTGGTCAGTGCATGCTTGCATAAAACTGCATGCTTGCATGAAACTGCATGCTTGCATGAAACTGCATGCTTGCATGAAACTGCATGCTTGCATGAAACTGCATGCTTGCATGAAACTGCATGCTTGCATGAAACTGCATGCTTGCATGAAACTGCATGCTTGCATGAAACTGCATGCTTGCATGAAACTGCATGCTTGCATGAAACTGCATGCTTGCATGAAACTGCATGCTTGCATGAAACTGCATGCTTGCATGAAACTGCATGCTTGCATGAAACTGCATGCTTGCATGAAACTGCATGCTTGCATGAAACTGCATGCTTGCATGAAACTGCATGCTTGCATGAAACTGCATGCTTGCATGAAACTGCATGCTTGCATGAAACTGCATGCTTGCATGAAACTGCATGCTTGCATGAAACTGCATGCTTGCATGAAACTGCATGCTTGCATGAAACTGCATGCTTGCATGAAACTGCATGCTTGCATGAAACTGCATGCTTGCATGAAACTGCATGCTTGCATGAAACTGCATGCTTGCATGAAACTGCATGCTTGCATGAAACTGCATGCTTGCATGAAACTGCATGCGCACATGAAACTGCATGCAAACCGCCAGACCATGAAGTACCTTCCAAAAGTTCTTAATCACAGGAGACTCCTTGGTGTACCCATCCTCATACCGCGCATTCCTCTCCCTGCACTCACACGTGGACACACATGCAAGCACCGCAGAACAACCCAAGGCAGCATAAGAGGAACATGAAGCAGAGGCAGAAGAAGCCCCAGAGGCCAAGAGTCTGGCCCGACTAGGGTGGGAAAGAGTTCTCTTGCACCAAGCGCAGCACCAAGTGCAGCACCGCCCCGCTCACCAATCACAGCAGCAGCACCGCTCACCAATCACAGCAGCAGCAATCACATGCAGCTCAGAGCGAGTATGCACACAGGCACTTGCAGCTCGTCGAAGTCAAACACAGGGCTGCCACAGATGAGCAACTCGAGATTTTCGGGTTGGAACAGACGCAGCACCAACCGACCAACCAACCACAGGCAGACACGTTCCATGCACAATGGCGAAGGCACTCGCAGCTCGTCGAAGTCAAACACAAAGCTGCCGCCAATTTAGCAACTCGAGCTCGTCCGGTTGGAATATGGCACACACATGGCCATGCAGAGCAGAGCATGCCCAACCACCTACCAACAAGTGACGTTTCACACATGCCCAACAAGGCACTCACAGCTCATCAAAGTCAAACACGGGGCTGCCGCAGATGAGCAGCTCGAGCTCGTCAGGTTGGAACATTTTCAGCACTCGCCCCCCACACAGGCGCAGGAAGCCATGAGAGAACGGGCCGAACTGACGCTCCACCAGCTTGTTCAGATGGAACTGTGATGGGGTGTGGGGGAAAAAGGGGGTGCAAAAAGGGACTGGGTTAGAACAAGCGCAGCACTGGCCCCCCACACAGCCTCAGGAAACCGTGAGAGAACGGGCCGAACTGACGCTCCACCAGCTTGTTCAGATGGAACTGCGGCGGTGCAATTGAGAGCAGGGGGGAGAATGAAGGGGAAGGAGGAGGGGACATGGGGGGAGAATGAAGGGGAAGGAGGAGGGGACATGGGGGGAGAATGAAGGGGAAGGAGGAGGGGACATGGGGGGAGAATGAAGGGGAAGGAGGAGGGGACATGGGGGAAGGCAAATGTATGGGAACACGCAGGAAGCCGTGAGAGAAGGGGCCGAACTGCCTCTCCACCAGCTTGTTCGGATGGAAATGTGGAGGTGCACAGGGAGGGTGGGGGGCACCCAAGAAAGAGGGCAGAGCAGACAGAAAGAGGGCAGAGCAGACAGAAGGAGGGCAGAGCAGACAAGGGTTGGCAAGATTGGCACGTGATAAAAGTGATTTATTGAGTCGTCTAAAAAAAATCACTAATATCACATGGGGATGGGGGGAAGGGAGGGCACAAAAGAGAATGGGAGGTGCGGGAAGGCATATGAGAAGGGCCCGTCCTGCCTTGCACTGACCCGTCCTGCCTTGCCCTGACCCGTCCTGCCTTGCCCTGACCCGTCCTGCCTTGCCCTGACCCGTCCTGCCTTGCCCTGACCCGTCCTGCCTTGCCCTGACCCGCCCTGCCTTGCCCTGACCCGCCCTGCCTTGCCCTGACCCGTCCTGCCTTGCCCTGACCCGCCCTGCCTTGCCCTGACCCGCCCTGCCTTGCCCTGACCCGCCCTGCCTTGCCCTGACCCGCCCTGCCTTGCCCTGACCCGCCCTGCCTTGCCCTGACCCGCCCTGCCTTGCCCTGACCCGCCCTGCCTTGCCCTGACCCGCCCTGACCCGCCCTGACCCGCCATCCCTAAGCCTTAAACCCCTAGCCCTGACTCACGTCTTAGCCCTGACTCACGTCTTAGCCCTGACTCACGTCTTAGCCCTGACTCACGTCTTAGCCCTGACTCACGTCTTAGCCCTGACTCACGTCTTAGCCCTGACTCACGTCTTAGCCCTGACTCACGTCTTAGCCCTGACTCACGTCTTAGCCCTGACTCACGTCTTAGCCCTGACTCACGTCTTAGCCCTGACTCACGTCTTAGCCCTGACTCACGTCTTAGCCCTGACTCACGTCTTAGCCCTGACTCACGTCTTAGCCCTGACTCACGTCTTAGCCCTGACTCACGTCTTAGCCCTGACTCACGTCTTAGCCCTGACTCACGTCTTAGCCCTGACTCACGTCCACCAGCAGGTCCACAAACTCCTCCCGGTTGCTGTTGGTGACAGGAAGGTTCTCGCCGCCTTCCTTGAGCGGCACGGTGGTGGGCGAGCCAAACACGTCTGTGTACGACGCCTCGAAGCACCACGAGTACACCTCCTGATGAGCACGTGTGTGTTGGGGAGGAAGGATGATGAGCACGTGTGTGTTGGGGAGGAAGGATGATGAGCACGTGTGTGTTGGGGAGGAAGGATGATGAGCACGTGTGTGTTGGGGAGGAAGGATGATGAGCACGTGTGTGTTGGGGAGAGAGGATGATGAGCACGTGTGTGTTGGGGAGAGAGGATGATGAGCACGTGTGTGTTGGGGAGAGAGGATGATGAGCACGTGTGTGTTGGGGAGGAAGGATGATGAGCACGTGTGTGTTGGGGAGGAAGGATGATGAGCACGTGTGTGTTGGGGAGGAAGGATGATGAGCACGTGTGTGTTGGGGAGGAAGGATGATGAGCACGTGTGTGTTGGGGAGGAAGGATGATGAGCACGTGTGTGTTGGGGAGGAAGGATGATGAGCACGTGTGTGTTGGGGAGGAAGGATGATGAGCACGTGTGTGTTGGGGAGGAAGGATGATGAGCACATTCATAAAAGATGCACGCACAACTACCCCCCCCCCTTCCCCTGCCCTCACCTACTTTCACCTACCTGCACCGGTGTGCACTGCACCTACCCTCACTCACCTCAACGTTGCCCTGAAATGCGAGCAGCCCCTTGAGCCCTCGATGCAGGTCCGGGTCCACCTGCCGTGGTGGTGCGGGGACAGTTACGGGACAGGTACGGGACAGGTCAGGGACAGGTCAAAGGCAGGTCAGGGGATAGGTTAGGGGCACACACGAAAACGAGAGGGCACTGGGAAAAGAGGTTGTGGGAGAATATGCACAGTTTTGAGGGTACTGGCATGCACAGAGAATGAGGTGAGTTTTGAGTCGACTCAAAAGAGAATGAGGTGAGTTTTGAGTCGACTCAAAAGAGAATGAGGTGAGTTTTGAGTCGACTCAAAAGAGAATGAGGTGAGTTTTGAGTCGACTCAAAAGAGAATGAGGTGAGTTTTGAGTCGACTCAAAAGAGAATGAGGTGAGTTTTGAGTCGACTCAAAAGAGAATGAGGTGAGTTTTGAGTCGACTCAAAAGAGAATGAGGTGAGTTTTGAGTCGACTCAAAAGAGAATGAGGTGAGTTTTGAGTCGACTCAAAAGAGAATGAGGGCTGGACGGGCAACTCACTCCAGCGAGATCATCCAGGCAGGTCTTCTTCCCGAGGAGCTTCTTGTAGACGACAAGGGGAAAGCTTATATCGAGGATGTGCGCGTTGTAGATGGCGAGCCCCAGCACGGTGCCGACGAGCTCAAACTCGAGGGGCATGTCGATGGGCGATGCACTGAACCAGAAGGATCGAGTCGTTTCGTTGTACGTGAACATGCCAAACTGTTGTTGTTAATGCACAGGGGGGATAAGGAGGATGGGCCAGAAGAAAGGGCGGGATGATTGCGCAATCGGGCAAGGGGGGAAAGAAGGAGGGAACCGGAACAACACGCAGCACAGTAGGGATGCTTATCACACACACAAATAAAAAAACAGTTGAATATATCATGGGTGTGGGATGGCGTCAACGATATCACGCATGATAAGCTGGAAGAACTCCTTATGCAGCCCACCTGTGCACGTTCGCCCTTTCGAGGTTGAGGTGCCTGATTCAGTCATCATACCTTGGCGTCATTTGAGACGTCTCAAAACACAGTCATCATCATACCTTGGCGTCAACGATATCGCGCATGATGAGCTGTAAGAACTCCTTCTGTACGCCGCCCTTTGAGGTTGAGTCGCCTCAAGTCAAAAATGGTACCTTGGCGTCAACAATGTCTCACCTTGGCGTCAACAATGTCTCACCTTGGCGTCAACAATGTCTCACCTTGGCGTCAACAATGTCTCACCTTGGCGTCAACAATGTCTCACCTTGGCGTCAACAATGTCTCACCTTGGCGTCAACAATGTCTCACCTTGGCGTCAACAATGTCTCACCTTGGCGTCAACAATGTCGCACCTTGGCGTCAACAATGTCGCACCTTGGCGTCAACAATGTCTCACCTTGGCGTCAACAATGTCTCACCTTGGCGTCAACAATGTCTCACCTTGGCGTCAACAATGTCTCACCTTGGCGTCAACAATGTCTCACCTTGGCGTCAACAATGTCTCACCTTGGCGTCAACAATGTCTCACCTTGGCGTCAACAATGTCTCACCTTGGCGTCAACAATGTCTCACCTTGGCGTCAACAATGTCTCACCTTGGCGTCAACAATGTCTCACCTCGGCGTCAACAATGTCGCACCTCGGCGTCAACAATGTCGCACCTTGGCGTCAACAATGTCTCACCTTGGCGTCAACAATGTCTCACCTTGGCGTCAACAATGTCTCACCTTGGCGTCAACAATGTCTCACCTTGGCGTCAACAATGTCTCACCTTGGCGTCAACAATGTCTCACCTTGGCGTCAACAATGTCGCACCTTGGCGTCAACAATGTCTCACCTTGGCGTCAACAATGTCTCACCTTGGCGTCAACAATGTCTCACCTTGGCGTCAACAATGTCTCACCTTGGCGTCAACAATGTCTCACCTTGGCGTCAACAATGTCTCACCTTGGCGTCAACAATGTCGCACCTTGGCGTCAACAATGTCGCACCTTGGCGTCAACAATGTCTCACCTTGGCGTCAACAATGTCTCACCTTGGCGTCAACAATGTCGCACCTTGGCGTCAACAATGTCGCACCTTGGCGTCAACAATGTCTCACCTTGGCGTCAACAATGTCTCACCTTGGCGTCAACAATGTCTCACCTTGGCGTCAACAATGTCTCACCTTGGCGTCAACAATGTCTCACCTTGGCGTCAACAATGTCGCACCTCGGCGTCAACAATGTCGCACCTCGGCGTCAACAATGTCTCACCTTGGCGTCAACAATGTCTCACCTTGGCGTCAACAATGTCTCACCTTGGCGTCAACAATGTCTCACCTTGGCGTCAACAATGTCTCACCTTGGCGTCAACAATGTCTCACCTTGGCGTCAACAATGTCGCACCTTGGCGTCAACAATGTCTCACCTTGGCGTCAACAATGTCTCACCTTGGCGTCAACAATGTCTCACCTTGGCGTCAACAATGTCTCACCTTGGCGTCAACAATGTCTCACCTTGGCGTCAACAATGTCTCACCTTGGCGTCAACAATGTCTCACCTTGGCGTCAACAATGTCTCACCTTGGCGTCAACAATGTCTCACCTTGGCGTCAACAATGTCTCACCTTGGCGTCAACAATGTCTCACCTTGGCGTCAACAATGTCTCACCTTGGCGTCAACAATGTCTCACCTTGGCGTCAACAATGTCTCACCTTGGCGTCAACAATGTCTCACCTTGGCGTCAACAATGTCTCACCTTGGCGTCAACAATGTCTCACCTTGGCGTCAACAATGTCTCACCTTGGCGTCAACAATGTCTCACCTTGGCGTCAACAATGTCTCACCTTGGCGTCAACGATATCGCGCATGATGAGTTGGAAGAACTCCTTCTGCACGCCGCCCTCGTCCACGCCCTCCTCGCCCACAAACTTCACCTGCATTGCTCTCCCCCCGGGGGACAGAGAATAAGGGAGGGAGCAGGTGGGGGCATGAGATGCACATTTGAGTCAACTAACAAAACAGCCCCTCCTCGCCCACAAACTTCACCTGCTCTCGCATGGGGGAATAGGAAAGGGGGCAGATGGAGGCGTGAGGGCATCACATGGGGGTGAGAATGAAAGCAGGACACTTCTGAGAATGGAAGTCGACTCACAAACCACCCCCTCCTCGCCCACAAGTGTCACTTTTGAGAATTCTCAAAAGCCACTCCCAAGGGGGAACACGGGCAAGAGGAGATGGAGGCGTGAGGGCATCACGAGCGGCCATGGAACCGGGAAAGCATGGGGGTCGCAAATGGGGGTGCTCGTGACGCCCTCATGCCTCCATCTCTTTGGACCGAGGGAGAGAATGAGGGTGGGCGAACGAAGGCATGGGATGGGAGGGAATGACGGCGGCGAAATAAGGATTATGACAACCACCATTGCACTCGGATCGAGAGTGGAGCAAGGGGTGTGATGGAATGGAGGAGGGGAGAGGATAACCATGCTGGTGAGGTGACACATGCCTCTCACGTTGAGATCGAGAGGTGACATGTGCTGACTTTTGAGTCGACTCAAAAGTGGTGGTGAGGTGACATGTGCCGCTCACCTTGAGTGGTTTTTTCAAGTCCCCTGCGTGCTGCTGCACCTGCAGGCACAGGGAGGGGAGTGAGAGGAGAGTGCGGAGAGGATGAAGAGAAGGTTAAGGCAAGGGTGAATTGGAAAAATGAGGGAAGGGAGATGAGAATGAGTCAAAGAAAGGAGACGGACCATCATGTTGGGCTACCGAGTGCAGAGGAGAGCAGCGGAGAGGAGAGGAAAGGAAAGAGGACGGTTGGAGGAAGGAGGAAGGGCAGTGAAGGAGTGTGGCAGTGAAGGAGTGTGGCAGTGAAGGAGTGTGGCAGTACGCGTGCCGAGCGAAGTGTTCCTGCCTGCAAGCCCGTTAGCCCAGTGAAACTGAAAGCGAGCATCCATCATGCTCTCTCAATACACCTGCAGGATGGCGTCTTCAACAATGTGGTCGCGCCGCACAATGAGCACACACAAGGGGTTGCCCATGCCATGTGCGCGCCTGAGAGCCCCCTCAGCGGCAGAGCCGTGTGCAGTGAAGCTGGTAAACAAACAGCAGAGCATGGCCTCTCAATGTGCACACAATGTGCATACAATGAGCACACAACACCCCCTACCTGCAAAATGGCGTCTTCCACGATGTGATCTCGCCGCACAATGAGCACACAGAAGGGGTTGCTTACGTGCGCACCTGAGAGCCCCCTGAGAGGCACAGCCATGCCCAGTTAAACCCCCACCTGCAGGATAGCGTCTTCCACAATGTGATCTCGCCGCACAATGAGCACACAGAAGGGGTTTGCCATGTGCGCGCCTGAGAGCCCCCTGAGCAACAGAGTTACAGAACCATGCCCAGCCCAGTGACGCTGGGAAACAGCCCAGCATGCCCTCTGGATACATCGCCCTACCAACCTGTATATACCTGCAGGATGGCGTCTTCCACGATGTGATCTCGCCGCACAATGAGCACGCAGAAGGGGTTGCCCACGTGCGCGCCTGAGAGCCCCCTGAGCGCCATGCCTAGCAGTGCATCATGGAAGCGGTGGGACATCTCCACCCGCGACTCCACCTGCAGCACTGCCGCCTTGCTGGCTGCTTCTAGAATGTACGGATGCTCACAGAGAGTAAATGGGTCTAAGTACCTGTGTGGGGAGTGGGAAGGGAGGGTGGATGAGAGGGAGTGAAGGACTCTCTGCACTGCAGCAGCACGTGCGTCTGGCTGGGCAGGTCGAGGTGGGCCATGTGTGGTTGGGCCTGAGAGCCCTCTGAGCGCCATGCCCAGCAGGGCGTCGTGGAAGTGGTGAGACATCTCCACCCGCGACTCCACCTGCAGCACTGCCGCCTTGCTGGCTGCCTCGAGGATGTATGGATGCTCACAGAGGGTGAAAGGGTCCAAGTACCTGGGGGGAGAAGGAAGGGGAGGAAAGGCAAGATGAGAGGCATATGTCGTGGAAGCGGTGGGGCATCTCCGTTCGCAACACAACTCTACCTGCAGCACTGCCGCCTTGCTGGCTGCTGCTTCCAGGATGTAAGGGTGTTCGCACAGGGTGAAAGGGTCCAGGTACCTGGGGGGGAATGGGGGGGTGAGGGGGGAGGAGGAGATGGGGCTGCTGTTTCACAAATTCACCATCCGTCCCACAACTTGGCTCTTCAGTCCATCATTGACCCATCTTGCCCACCGCCCACCCACCTGTCTCTGTGCTTCCACTTGGTGTAGTCCTGCTCCAGGTCCACAAACTCGTCGCTGTTCATGGCATCGTTGTAAAATGCTGAGTGTGGCAGCTGATGGCCCCTCTCGTTCGCAGAGACTGCCAGCAGTGGTGGGAGCAGAGAGGCACATAAGACACAAACAGCACACAACACAAGGCACCGTGGAAAGAGGAGGAGAGGGAGAGGAGGGGGTGGGTGGCAGGGACAGCTGAGGGTTGAGAGAAGGGGAGAGAGATACAGCGGATGGTCCAAGTAAGCGTGCAGAAATGTAGGGTGTGAATCCAAAGGTGAAGAGGACAGCGACGTGTGGCGTGCCGGTCACTTCACTGGCATTATGCAAAGTCACACGAGAATGTCGGTGCCGCAGCAGCAGCAGCAGCAGCAGCAGCAGCAGCAGCAGCAGCAGCAGCAGCAGCAGCAGCAGCAGCAGCAGCAGCAGGAGCAGGAGCAGGAGCAGCAGGAGCAGAAACAGCAGAAAAGGCACCAGCGGCAGCAGCAGCAGAAACAGCAGGAGCGGCACTCACAGAATATCCCGAGCACGCGGGTGGCGAGCTTGACAGTGTCAACGAGGCGGTGGGTCTCGTACAGCTGAATGGTGATCACATGCTGCGCCGTCTCCACCACCTGCTGTAGATGCCCGCGCTCGTAGCTGTTAGCAGCAGGGTGAAGAGAGTAAGGAGGAGCAAATTCAGTGGGAATGTGGCCACGGGTCACATTGCTGCCCTTGTCGGACTCGTAGAGCTGGATGGTGATCACATGCTGCGCCGTCTCCACCACCTGCTGTAGGTGCCCTCGCTCGTAGCTGCAGTGAGGGAGGGAGGGGAAGAAGGATCAAGGTCAGCGGGACTGGACTGGAAAGTTTGATTTGATCCTGGTGCTCGCATCGCAGCCGTAGAGCTGGATGGTGATCCCATGCTGTGCCATGCCGTCTCCACCACCTGCTGCTAGCGGGGCAGTAATGGCAGGCCCAGCAGCAGCTTGCCGTGGCGGCAACTTTTGAGACGCCTCAAGGGCTGCCTCGTGAGTGCGGCAGGGAAGCATATTTGCGTGGCAATTGGCAAGTGAGGTGAGGCACGCACTGCACTTGCCTGGCGAGGGTGCAGATGAGCTGCTGGCGGGGCAGTGGCGGCAGGTCCAGTAGCAACTTGCACAGGCGGCGGTACAGCGGATGGTTCTCTGGTTCCATGAGGAAGGGGCTCTGGGGGGAGGGGGAGGAGACAGAGGGGGGCAGGAGGGGCAGGAGAAGCACACGCAACACAGATCAAGCGGACTGTCAAAAAGACGGAGGCGGTACAGCGGATGGTTCTCTGGCTCCATGAGGAAGGGGCTCTGCGCACACATGAGAGGGAGGCAAGAGCAGCACGAGGGACAAGAGAGGCACGAGGGACAAGAGAGGCACGAGGGACAAGAGAGGCACGAGGGACAAGAGAGGCACGAGGGACAAGAGAGGCACAACCACAGCACAGCACAGGCCAATGAGACTGTCAGTAGCAGTTGGCAATACAAGTTGTGGTGTTCTAGCTGCATGTGGAAACGCCTCTGGGGAGAGAGGACGGGAAGAGAGCACTCAGATGGCACTAAGCTTGGGCGTAAGCAGCTAGACTCGCATGCATGCATGCATGCATGAAGCATAGAGGGCGGCGCGGCGCGCAGGAGGGAGGGGGCACACGGCGAAACGCAACAGTGAAATATATTTCCCGATTCACTAACGCGAAACACAGACACAGTGCAGTGAGCGAGCAACCAACCGAGCACGCGAGGAGAAATACCCAAGGCAAGGCAAGGCAAGGCAAGGCAAGGCAAGGCAAAACAGACATAGTCAGCGGTGCAAAGCAAACGACGTCAACTCAAGGGACTTGACAACAGGCCGCAGAAGCATGCAAGGCGGCAGCGCTGCCGTCAGGTACCCTTGTCAGGGCACACGGACCGCGGGACTCACGTCGAGCAGGAAGAGCAGAGCAGTGAGCGCATGACAGCTGGCGACGGCTCATCCGAGTCCCTCCCTGCCACCGAGTCCACCTTCCTCTGCTGCAGCAGCTGCCAGCGAGTCCATCTTCCTCTTCGCACTGCCCGACGCCCCTGCTACTGCCCATTGCCCAGTCATGACAACCCATTGACTCACGTCCAGTAAGAAGAGCAGGGAGCGCATGAAGCCTGGCGACGGCTCCTCCGTGTCTCGCCCTGCACCCACTTCTGCCGCTGCGGCTGCCAGCGAGTCCACCTTGCGCTTCGCACTGCCCGACGCCCCTGCTGCTGCTGCTCCTGCCGCTGCTGCTGCTGCTGCTGCTGCTCCTGCCGCTGCTGCTGCTGCTGCTGCTGCTGACGCTGCACCTGCACCTGCCCCCACCGCCCCTGCTGCACCTGTGTCCACGTCAGCTGCTGCACCCGCGGGGGCTTCAGTGGCCGGGTTTTCGGAAGATGGAGCAGCGGCAGTTGACGGCAGTGCAGGTTGGGTATCAACTTCCATAGCATTGCTAGCAGTGGTGGCAGCAGTGGTGGTAGCAGTGGTGGCAGTAGCTGTGGCAGTGGCATCATCCCTCTCACTCCCAGCAATGGAAGGGGTTGCAGCAGTGGTAGTGATGGTGGTAGCAGTTGCGGGTGCAGGGAGAGGGACGAGGGCAGGAGGGCGGGAGGGTCGTGGGGGGGTGGGGAGGTGGTGGGCGAGAGTGGAGGAGGGCGCGGAGGGCATGGCTTGCGCCAGCTCTGTGAGCAACCGATCGCTCGCCCGTACCACTGCTGCTGCCACCTCGTCGCCCTGTGGTGCGGGGCGAGGGGGGATGGATGAGAGGGGTGCGGTTGAGTGACTGACAGCGTGAGCGGAGAGAGTGCAGAGACAGAGAGAGTGGAGGAGGGCGCGGAGGGCATGGCTTGCGCCAGCTCTGTGAGCAACCGATCGCTCGCTCGCACCACTGCTGCTGCCACCTCGTCTCCCTGCGAATGAGCGGAGCGAGCGGTGGGGAGTGGGTGAAAGGTGAGTGAGTGCTTAGTTGCGCGGAAAGAGGGGAGAGAGAGAGTGGAGGAAGGGCGGATGGCGTGGCTTGGCCGGCGCAGCGCAGACAATCCCTGATGTTGCAGGGATTTTTTGAGAATTCTCAAAAAGGCTTGGCCGGTGCAGCGCAGACAATCCCAATGACATGGCGCAACGCAAGCGTGAAGCGACAAACACTTACCAGATTCGCCACTCCGTCATAAAACAGCTTCACAGTCGTCGAGTCAATTCCTGGTCAAATAGAGGGCGCAAGGGGTGATGATGACCGCATTGGGAAAGAAAAGGATGGAGTGATTGTGAATCAGGGAAAAGTTGGAATGATGAAAAATCAAGAGAAAGAGGGGGTGAGAGTGAGCGCATCAGGAGAAAGATGAGAAATGAAGGAGAAAGCCCAGCTCATAACATTACCCTCACCCGATTCGATCCCTCTCCACCCCCTTTCAATCCCCAAAACCCCTGTATCCACCACACTCTATATCACATTTCCTCACTCACCCAGCAGGTTGCCCTTGAAGAGCCCTTCTGGCATGGCCAGGAACACCAGGCTCACAGCTTCTCTCCAGACCCTCATACGGCAGTCAATCACTCACCCACACTTCATCCACCGCACTCAACGAGCGCATCCCCCACTCACCCAGCAGGCAGGTTGCCTTTGGAGAGCCCTTCTGGCATGGCCAGGAATACGAGGCTCACAGCTTTTCGAATCGACCCAAAAGTCCATTCAGTGACAGCCCTTTCCTTCACCCATTGCACTCACTTACCGCATGCCCTCACTCACCCAGCAGGTTGCCTTTGGAGAGCCCTTCTGGCATGGCGAGGAACACGAGGCTCACAGCGTCTGCTGACGACAGCACCTTGGGGATCAGCTCTGCCACGTGGTGGCTGTCCTGGGCTGCACTGCTGGCCCTCGCTGCCCTGCTGGCACGCGCCTTGGAGATTGCTGCCAGGAGCTCCGCTGGAATGGGTGGGGAGGGGACAACCAAGCCAAGCATGAGGGAGGAGAGTTTTAGACGTTTGTTGAGACGTCTGAAAAAAAAAATTACATGTCTCAAAACCCTGCTGGCACGCGCCTTGGAGATTTCCGCTAGCAGCTCTGCTGGAGTGGGGGAGGGACCACCAAGCCAAGCATGAGGGATGAGAATTTCGCGACGGCTGTTGAGGCGTCTCAACATTTTGACACGTCTTAAAGCCGTGCGGGCATGCGCCTAGGGGATCGCTCCAACCCAATTCAACATTTTGTTGTTAGCAGCTCCATTAGAAGGGGGACCACCCAACCCAACCCAAGCATGAGGGCGGATGATGGGTATGCACGAGAGCGTATGTCAGCAGCTGCTGGAAAGCAGAATAGAGAAGCTTTGAAGTCGAGGTTTAAGAACATGAGCTTTCGCTCCTTGACTTCATACGGTGTGTACTGACCATCTAAATAAAACTAGCAGGGTGAAGTGAAAATCACAAAGATCACCATTTTGCTTATGAAATTTCTCAATAGCTACCTATAGTTTTGAGGCGCTTAAGAACGACAAGCATGCGACAGCAGCCCATGCGAGCCAAGAGGGAAGGAAGTGAATGAGGAAAATGCGAGGAGGTGACACGGAGAGCTGACAGCCATTTTGGAGGAGGAGCACGCAAGAGGGGGAGCGTGCATGCGCTGTGCACCAACCTTTCCCCATCATGCGCTGTGCACCAACCTTTCCCCATCATGCGCTGTGCACCAACCTTTCCCCATCATGCGCTGTGCACCAACCTTTCCCCATCATGCGCTGTGCACCAACCTTTCCCCATGGCGACCTTCAGAGCCATCGCTGCAGCGTCGTTGGGAGCAAAGCCTCGCTGATGGAGGCTCTCGAAATTGCTGCCAGACGAGAAAGACGCACAAAATCGATTACCAGATGAAGTTTGCAGTTGTACCACCAGATTTATCATCTGAAGCTGTAACAAACACCAGAGTAAAAGCTGCAGATGTGACGCTAGATTAAGAGACCCAACTGTGACGCCAGACAACGAGCTGCAGCTGCGACAGTGCTACTGTTATGCCAGGAAACGAGGTACGGCTGCAACACTACAACTGCACGAATCACCCAAATTGGCATCTAACATTCCAATCATTCCTAGGGCAACTGTTTGTCAGTCTTCTCTCATCATAATTCATCAAATACCATGTCTTGAACGAGCCCCTCTTACTTCTTCACCGTGAGCGCGAAGCTCTCCTTTGCCGCTCCGCCTTCAGCCGCGGTGAGTGAGGATTCATGATACTCGTCCCCCATGGACCCACCACTAGCGAACAGCGCGCAGCTCAAATCCGAAAAAAGTGGTTCTCCAACTAACTCCTAAATTCAACGTCAAGACCCGCTACTAGGTTGCACTGACGTGAGTATTTGGTGAGTTCAGGTACAGTAGTGACGATGTTTCTCTTCAAGGTTGCTGATGATTCCTGATGAATCACGTGCAGCGAGAAGACTAGGAGAAAATGCTCTCACCCGAAACGCGCTGCACGACACGTCACGACACGTCAATATGACTCGAGAAAAGTATTGCTGGTGGGGGAGCGTGGTGTCTGGGAAAATGGTTTAGTGTGCTAGTTTTGAGATTTTACGAATTTGGTGGGTGTAGAAAGTCGTGCTGGTTCAACACCAGGCAAGTCCTGTCAGAGTGAAGGTTGTGCGACGTTTGCGAACAGAGGGATTAGCTGGTTTGGATTTTCGCACAGAGCGAACACAGCACAGTCTAGAAGTCCGCGCTTGTCCAATCACTGCAGACCGACCTTCTGACATACGAACCATTCGTCAGTTTCGGAAGCCCGCGCAAATTAGCGGTCGAGATTGGTCATCTGTCCGTGGCTTCGCGAAGGGTCACGGTATGGCGCCAGCCACGTCCATCGCATTTGCATTGCATTGCTTGCAGGCTCGTATTTTGGAATTCAACACTTGATTCAGGGGAAGGTCGTACGTTGTACGATTTATGCATCGCGGCTCAGGACGGTTCGATACGGTTAAAACGGCTATTAAAGTACACCGTTTTGCACCGCGACAAAACAAATTGGACCGCAAAAACGCACAGAAGACACACAAGCTGGGATATTCTCGAGGATGTGAACTTGAATGCCCCAGCAACAGCAGGATGCTATTTCCTAGTGGTGGTCACCAAAGCATTCCAAGCCATATTGGATCTGTGCAGTCTTAGAAGCCTTCCAGAGCGCAGTAACTATGGCGTCTCGCCTTCTATCTGGCGCGGTCCTGCTCCTTTTCTACGCGCTTTGCGGTGAGTGAGTTTCTTTGCCGTACTAGTTTATTTGCTTGTTTTCTTTCTTCCCTCTTTTCATTTTTGCGGTCACCATCGTTACGGGTTCTTCTGTGCAGTGGCTGCGAAGACCGAGAAGGATGTGACTCAGCTTCAGATCGGCGTGAAGGTGAATTCAAGGCTCTTTTCGGCACCTGTTCCCGCGCGTTTTCTCGCGTGTCCCTATTTGCGTGAAAAAATTCACCGTTCGAAACTTGCATTATATGATGTTACTCCTGGTCTGACATTGATTCGCCGTTGTCTGCGGTGGATGATGGCAGTTTAAGCCCAAGGACTGTCCGCGCAAAAGAATCTCGATACTGTCAAGGTTCATTACAAGGTGAGCGCTTTGTTGGACCCACGTATATTTCGGCCTGTGCATTCCCGATCGCACAAGCAACTCATATGGCTCCTTCGCGTTTCACCGAACTGCCATTCGTGAGTAGTTAGTATTGGGTAGGGAGTTCAAGAAGTGAGTCGTTACTGGCGAGTAATGCAGAGTGGTACAACTGTACAGCAAAACATGTCATCGACGGCACCTACTGGCAAAGCAGTACCTACTATTTCGGACGGCAGCTAACAAAGGGGTCTGATAGGGACGTCGAGGACGGCGTAATTTACCTAAACCAGACGGGCTGACGCTTGCAGCACGACCGGTCGAATTGACGTGGCTTGGTAGCACGGCTAGATGACCGACGTGAATCGCGGCCTTACAACGCTAATCGTTCGCTTATATCAAATACCTTGAGATATAGGTCGGCCAGCGGCGAAGTAAGCCAGAGCCGCGGCTGTTGTGTCAGATCCATTCGCTCGCGATTCTCGTTCTAATCTTGAGAATTTCCACTCGTGGCTCAGATTCACTCGGTTTTAGTCAGACGCTGCTGTGCATAAACAAGCGGCAAAGCAATTGGAAAGCACGGCTGTCGTGAGCGCGTGAGTGCTTGCGTTGAAGTAATATGGGTGCAGGAAGCAATGCAGCCTTGGTTTTTGAAGTGCCTAAAAAATGCATCCTCGTTTACGCTCCAAGCATTGACCCTCGTTGAGTACTGGTGGTCCCTCGATCGCCGCTCTTCATGCACGGAAGAACTGCCCAATAGTCAAATCGTTGGGATCCGACGCGCCTGAATCTCCCGCTCCGTTAATTGCTCTGCCCTGAACCTTAACGTTGTTTTTTTCATAATCCTAGCATGTCCTGAACTTTGACGCTGACGTTGCGCATGCAGGGCACGCTCACCGATGGCACGAAATTCGACTCCAGCTACGACCGCAATGACCCCTTCGAGTTCCGCCTTGGCATGGGCAACGTGATCAAAGGTGAGAGACAGAAATGCTATGGCTGGCTGAAAAATAATCCGCAATGCGATCGAAAGCGAGAGACAGAAATGCTATGGCTGGCTGACAAATAATCCGCAATGCGATCGAAAGCGAGAGACAGAAATGCTATGGCTGGCTGACAAATTATCCGCAATGTGATCAATGGTAAGGTGCTTTGGCATGGGTACTAGTGTCGTGAACGTTGAAAGACGAAATAATGTTATGAAAGCTGTCAATGAATTTGTAATTTGCCAGACTTACGAAAGGCAATCCATTTTCGCATTGATAAATGCCATAAAAGGCTGCATAGCCCCAGCCGCGCATTTTGCGTTGCACCCTTCTTGTCTGGAAGTATGGTTGCGTTCATGATTCATGATTAGCCGCTGTGGCACCATCATCACTCTGAACACCCCTCTGAACGCCCCTCTGGACGTCCCTCTGAACGTCCCTCTGAACGTCGCTCTGAACGTCCCTCTGTCACGTGGCAGGGTGGGATATTGGCATCCTGGGCATGTGCATTGGCGAGAAGCGCAAGCTCAAAATCCCGCCCCACATGGGCTATGGCGAGAACGGCTCTCCCCCCAAGATTCCAGGTCAGTCCAGCTGTGCCCAGACCATTATATGGTTTTACTGGCTGATTGAGATCCACTGCTTAAATGCGGTTGTCTAATGCATTCATCAGACACTTAGCCTCTTGCGGTGGCATTCCGCTCCTTAACCCTCTTCCTCCACTCCCTTCCCTCCAATTCGCGAACTAGAAGGCCCTCCTCCCTTGGCTGTGCTGCCAGGTGGAGCAATGCTCTTCTTGGAAACAAAGCTGGTGGATGTAGTGGACACGCTGGAGGAGGGAAGAAAGAACCATCAATTTCTTTCTTTCCCTCCGCTCCCTCTGTCCCCCTACCAGGTGGAGCAACACTCATCTTTGAGACAGAGCTGCTGGACATAGTGGATGTGCCGGAGGAGGAGGAGGCGGAGATGGGTTAGCAACATTAATCTCTCTTTCCTCCCTCCCCCTACCAGGTGGAGCAACGCTGATCTTTGAAACAGAGCTGGTGGACATCGTGGATGTGCCGGAGGAGGATGAGATGGCTGGGAATCACTAGTCTTTCATTTCCCCTATTTTCTCCCTTTGACCTGTTGCCAGGTGGAGCAACACTCATCTTTGAGACGGAGCTGGTGGATATAGTGGATGTGCCCGAGGAGGAGGAGCCTGAGGATGAGGATTTCAATGACGAGGACATTGACGATACGGACCCCCAGGGGGAGGACGATGATGACGATGATGAGGACTTTGATGCTGACGATGACTTTTACAAGAGGGACGATGATGGCGAGCTGTGAGCGGAGTAATTTGAGGTGGATTTTAATGTTCATTTGAGGAATTTATGAAGATAGTGCTTTGGAATTAGATTTCTCTGCCTCTTGACAAGCTGATAATTTGATTCAACTTGTAGAGTCCAGCTCTGTAGTGCAGATGTAGTGCAGCCATGACAGAGTAGCTATAATTTTTGAAAGTGTAATGAAATGTAACACTTTCTAAAATTTTGTATTGTGAAAAGGGGTAAGTGGTCAGCACAGCTAAGGTAGCGCCGAAGCGCTACTCACCCTCTTTTGCCTACAAAAGAGGGACGTGGGGACATTCGTCCCCACCCACGTTTTCATATTCAGAATTGTAGTTCTAGTTTCCCACCCGCCCACCCATTTGTGTATGCTGTTATGTAGACCTATATATGACGAGAACGATGTACTACAACCCATATGAAATGATAACGCTGCCTTTGCCATATGAAATGATAACGCTGCCTTTGCAAGTTGGCCTAAGTCAACTTTCACAATGTCATTTATGGGGCAGTAGTACGCTGAACAGCCAAGCACAATGCATCAAATAAGGCGCAAGCAGGGCCATCAGGCGCGAGCAGCCTGCAACACTGAGGGGGGCCCAAAATTCAATCTGGCAGGGGTGACATGACACTGTTGTGCATAGATAGGTTATGCTATTCATGCCAACACAAGGCCCAGGTTTCTGTTTTGATGGCAGATGCATGGGGACTCTCTTACGTCTTCTGTCACTATTTCTGTCACTTCACTTTCAGACACTTTCCACAATGCCGGAGTCTGCTTCCTCATTTCATGGATATCTGCTATAGCATAATCGGCTCCTGCTGATAATTGTGATGTTCCAACCTGCAAGAAAGAGAACATGATAAAATAAAAACGAAAACTATGCAGGAATAACGAATCACGAGTGATGAGAAATGATATACCGTAAGGTGACAGGATCAGTCACATAGAAGAAAGCATTATGGCAACTCCAATGAAAACAGGAGATTGTACCTGGCGAGTTAAGTGAGTGGTAACGAATTGCACAGGCAAAAAAGGTGCAAGCAAGTCAGAAGGGTTCAGCTCAGCATGACATACCAGAACTGTGTGCATGCCGAATCTCTTGGCTGCTGCGATGTTGCGAGTGCTGTCATCAAAGAAGATCTGCAGCACAAGACACATAATAGTGGCATGGAATCAGACATGACGGTCTAGAGCTCACCAGGTCGTTTGAAAAGTGATACCATGTGTCGTTAGGTGGTGCCACACATCAGAGGCATCGCCATATACACAGCCAGCAGTCAGACACCCAGAACAGCCAAGTAAGCCCAAAAGAGAGGTCGATTTTCCCGCTGGCAATGGTCAGCTGTCACGATGGCAACGTGAGCTAGCAAGGCACAGGAACCAGCATACTCATGGGTGAGTTCCGAGCAATCCTCAACAGCATGGGACAGGCGAGAGAGGAATGTCTCAACGTAATGGGGTCTGACAGTGGACGACGGAGCGTCGACCACTGTTGACCTGACTGGCGGGCAAAAAAAGCTAAAACCCTATCGGATGGCATGCCATCCAAGGGAGGCATCAAACCAAAACACCATGCGACAAGGTGGTTAGGGTTGATGCCTCCCTTGGATGGCATACCCTTCCCTAGGGGTTTTTTTTTTTTGCCCCGGGCAGCGAGCTCCCTGGGCGGACTCGTTTGTCGGTTGAGATATTCTAAGGGGCATCACCCACAAGCAGCACATGCGGACAGTAGGATGGGGGTTGGTAACCCAGAGAGGATGGGAAAAAGCAGGGGCATACCGATGAGTGCGGGTCAGCGTGTGCGATGCCAACCACTGCCCGCTGGAACGCCTCAGCTTGGGGCTTGCAGCAGATGAGCGGCCCGGCCTGACTCGTCCACGACTGCGCCACTGCAGATGCTGCAGCAGCTGCTGCAGGTGCTGTTGGTGTTGGTGTTGGTGGTGATGCTGCTTCTGCTGCTGGAGAAGCTGCTGCCAGTCTGGCGGCGTCACGGTGAGCGTGAGCAGAAAGAGGGTGAGCAGAGGCATGCTCCACCAGTGCATCTGCGCTGACGCAGCGGCGACTGTTGCAGCGGAAAGGAGGCACCTGTGGGAGGTTCACCTGCTTCGGTTTCTGATGCTCTAAACCACGCTGCTGCTGCTGCTGCTGCTGCTGCTGCTGCTGCTGCTCATTTGGACCTTCTTGCTGACCCTGGATAATGATTGGTAGCAAACGCTCTGGAGAGCTGCTGCCACTGCTGCCACTGCCCTCGGTGCAATCACTTGACAGGTTAGTGGAGGGGAGAGAGGCAGTGGAGGAGGCGGAAGGAATGGGAGGCAGGGAGGACAACTGCAGACCGCGGTCGGAGTCCAGGAGACCGTCAGAGCCGTCAGAGCCGTCAGAGCCATTAGGATTGCCAGAACCATCAGAACCGTCAGAGGTGTCAGAGGTGCATGAGGGATGGAAGTCGTTTCGGAGGGAGAAGGGCAGAGAGGGGCGCTGCGCCATGACGTCCTCGAATGCAATCACGGCGTCAAAGCAGCCTTCGAGGCCGAGCAGGCGCAGGCAGCGACTGGCGTGCATGCGATCGGCATTAGTGAACACCTGTGAGTGGGGATGGGGTTGGATGGGGTCGGATGGGGTTGGGAGGAGGAGGGCTGAGAGGGGTGGTGCGTCATGTCGTCCTCGAATGCAATCACGTCGTCAAAGCAGCCTTCGAGACCGAGCAGGAGCAGGCAGCGACTGGCATGGGTGCGATCAGCGTTGGTGAACACCTAAGGGGTTGGAGGAGGGAGGGCAGGCATGGGAGTGGATTGATCAGTTGTTAAATAGAAGAATAGGCAAATGCACAGAAAATATCTTCCAGGCCGAGTAGGGGCCGGCAGCAACTGGCGTGCGTGCAATCGGCGTTGGTGAACATCTGTGGGGGCAGATGGGAATGGACAGGGGTGGAGAGAGTTCGAGAGAGTACACCCACGTATGGGCTGGAACAACTTTACACACTGAACAGCATGTGCTGAGCACTGGCATGTGCTGATAGGCTAATGCTGATAGGCATGCAGTGATATGCCAAAGTCAATGCTCCTACGAGTTCACTGTGAACTACGCATACTTTGTCTGGTCTGGTCTACTATCATGAGGGACCCACAAATTTGCGTTGAGGAAGTGAGTCGAGCAGGTGCCTCAAGGCGGGGTCTGGCTTCAGCAGGTGGTATGGCAGCCGGCCGTGGACGAATCTGCATGGATGAGTAAGTTAGGGAGATGAGCAAGGCAGCGAGATGAGCAAGGCAGGGGGGCAGGAACTTGAGGAAGGCAGGGAGTTGAGGAAGGCAGGGGGATGGGGAAGGCAGGGGGATGAGGAATGCAGCGTGGTGAGGAAGTCAAGAGGGTAGATGCACAAGGACGAAGTGCAAATGGGGCGTGGAATGGATTGCGCATGAGCAGGGTGGGAGGACTTCCTCCCTCTAGAAGCAATGAGAAGTTGGAAACGCACGCATGCCAGTCATCAAAGTCGAAGGCGTAACCCTCTGCCTGCAACACACATTTCAAACGAGAACAGCACAGCACAGTCCATTACACGAGGAGTGGTTAATCCTGTGAACAAGTTCAGGTCGACCATCAGTGTTTATTGCACACCATTGACAATATGCTGGAATCACCTAATCCAAGTGAAATTTCCTTGAATCAGACCATGCATCCCCTATGGCATGCCGGTGATGGCAGCATCCTTTCTGTACCAGAGCCAATCCCGAAATCATTGTCATTGCAGCTGCTCTCAATCCTGTGACTGCGGCGTTCCTCTGTAAAGCGCTGCCTGCGAACCTGGGGCATGCACCGAGCTGTGACTGACTGCACGCCACATTTCCGACACATTTCACTCATGGCCTATTCTAATATCGTGCACGACATGATGTCAGGTCACGACATGGGCCAAGTGGGCGCACCATATCATGTGCAACACCACGGCATATGCTCGCGCTTCGCCTATGTGCTAATGCGGTTGTGAAATACTTGCAGGCAGCCCGGCAGGCAGCTCCTCCCAACGATACTTCAGTTTGTAAAGCTGAGACTCACCCTGAGTCCAGCCATGGTGGTGCCATGCTCCTTGTACAGCCTGATGGCCTCCTCGCCTGCTGTGTCTGCTGAGAATCCCAGCCGTTGAATCATGTAATCTGAAAGGTGGGAGGGGAATCCGAGAGAGAATGATGTAGATGGGACCTGCTAGAGACATGTCTTCATTAGAATGAGAGACGACCAAAGCGATGCGCGAATACATGTTTGATTCGGTTGCTACAGGATGTGGAGTCGAAAAATCTGGCAATAAAAAAAACAGAACTATAAGCCGAAAACTCTCTTGCTCAAGAATGTATTTCCTCACCGCCAGGGAGTTGTCGTACCTTCGATGTTCTTCACACAGGCTGGGCCGAGGCCAGCACTACCAGGATACAGGGTATCATCCAGATCTGAAACACAAATGAAAGCATGTTGATACACACAGCGGTGATTCACAATCGCAAATATTATAATCTGACAATGACAAACTCCCTGAGGGAGTCGTTGCCTGGCGATGGAACCACAATGATTGGGTGGTACGGGAATCACAGGAATGCGATGCTTTGTCGAATCGAAACTGCTGTTTAGTGATTGTATGATGAAGTAGGTTTGTTACGCGAGGCTGAACGGCTACGGCTTACCACAGGCTTTTGAGGTTCCTCAAAAGATGTCTGAAGTGGGTTAGTCTAACGAGGCTGAATGTCTATGGCTTACCGAAGAAGCAAGTCATGATACACGCGGGAATTTCGCGGGTTGGTTCCAACTGCGTAACCACAGCCGCTTCAGAGTCTTCTTCTAGTGTGAACAGTGGCGAGATGACGCCATTCCTGTAGTGGTATGGAATTCAAACAAGAAATCTGGTCAGAGGGATTCGTTCGTGTAGCGAAATTATGTTTGCTGAACTGTATTCAGGTGAGTTTTGAGTCGACCCAAAAGCGGAACAATCATGTGCAACTGCATTCAGCCTAACGACGTGTCATTTGAATATGCATCCCCAACCATCCACTACTGTTCAGGAGGGTTAAGCTAAGGCGTGTCAATCAGCGTATTCACAGACAAACAGAAAGAGCATGGAAGTGAACGTACTCTGCTGTCGGCGCCATTGGGATGCAGCTCCTGAAAACCGCGATTAGCGAGACAACGACTACAAAGATATCAACCAGGAACTGAACGACAGAAGCACGGTGAAAGACGGGTTCGACGCGAGTTGTGTGTGCAAGCAATACAACGGCCTGAACGAACCTGAGCAGGAAAGGCTGGTGGGGAAAGGCGTTGAGATAGAAGTCGTGCACTATGTACTTGTCATGGATACAGCGACCCAAAACAGTGAGCGGCAATTTCGAGACTAGAAGGTGGGTGAGGTGGGTCTGTTGAGGCGTACATGGGGTGTTCTGCTGGGGCCATGTTTGGCTGTCAGGCGTTCATTTTCACTCGGTTAGAATAGAAGTTGAAGAGATTGGACGGTTTACAGTAACACTTTCAAAAGGCATCGGATATCGAGCGGAGATGGTTTGGCTGGGATGGGGAGATATCGAGGGCGGAAAACCACTGGCGGGAATCTCCGAGGCTGGTGGGCTACGCTAGGGCGACGCGATAAAGCTGTGGTTCCGAGTGGTGTGGAAATCTAGTAGAGTGATTACGTGTCCGACGTGGCGAGGTTCGGCTGACCACACAGATACACTCAGAGGGCTGACTCGCAGAGACCTTCGGGGTTTTCTCTTGCGGTGGCACTTCTTCCTGACCTCATAGCCAGCGTTGGTGGCGTCAGCTTTGACGCGCGTAGGGGACCTGGCTCGAAACACCACCAACCGTCACCGAATTGAGAGAAATTGGTGAATTTTACCAGTAGAGCAAATGTACAGAAATATTCCTAACGTGGCCTTTCTGCGTAGCGTTATACCGCGGATAATGACCGTGAAACGTGGAGTCATCGTGACGGCACAATCCATCGCTCCTGGCAAGACCACCTACGTGTTCGTTATCTCGAGCCGAGCACAATGACTCGCCCAATGGAAAGAGGGCGCCGAAAAGCGCGCCTTCTGATGCAGAGAATCTTGTGTTGAGGCGAGTTTAATTGCGATCGTTTTGCAGCTCCGAGCTACCGCCGCGCGTACGAGAACCTATTCAACTGCGCTTGCAGAATTGCCAGCCATGGCCCGTAGAATCGCATCATTCGCGGCATCTCGTGTTCCCACTGCGAGTTCCGCTAATCAGCGCCTTCAATTTGGTCCATCGGCGTCATCCGTCTCTTTTGGCCGAGTCGCACACGTTCCATTAAGTACTCTCGAAACTGCCGCCTGCCGCGGCGTTGGTTCTATCTCGTCGTTAGCTTCCGTTATTTCGCGGTCCTCCGCTTCAGGAGACTTCGTTTCTTGGAGCGCAGTCGATGCGACGAGACTAGCTAGGCCGCGTGATGTTCCAAGTCGATCGCTTGCGACGGTTCGCGACGGCAGTGCGACGGCGAAGGAGGTGTCGCTCGTGCAAGGGGCTTCGCGAGGCATCGGGCTGGAGCTGGTCCGTGCCTCTGGTCCCTCTCTGCCTGGTTTTTCTGCTGCGTCCCTCTGTTGGTATAACATCTCGCTACCCACTGGGTCAAAGCGAGGTGTTATATGGCGTAGCGGAATGCCCATTAACCAGCCCACAGGCGTTACGGTTGGTTTCTGGTCTGCTGATTTTTTCTGCGCTGGATTTGCACTGCTGCTTCTTTATTTTCTACTCTTTTGTGGTACAACGTAACTTATATCATCCTCCTTCCCTCTCCCCTCTCCCCTCTTTCCTCTTTCTATTTCCCCCCTCCCCCCCCCCCCCCCCCCCCCCCCCTTCCCTCCCCCATCCCCCCCAACACCCCCACCCAAAATTGTGATTGAACGTGAATTTTCTTGGTATATTCCTTGCATAATTAGCATTGGAACATTTGACAACAAAAGGATCAACCGCTGAGAGAATTCGCCCTCTTTTAGAATTTCCAGGCTGGGAGAGATTCCCTGAGGGACCGTGCGGTTGAAGCACTAGAACCTATGATTCATCCGCCTTCGCTTCGTCTGTTGGCAGGCTCCGCAGCTTTCCTTGAATCCCCAAAAGGGAAATATGCGAATTCCAGCCGCATTGAAGGACAGGGACCGTGCGATCGAAGCATTGGAATCTCCTCTGACACGATGGTGCACATCATGCACGATGCGATGGTGCTCATTCATGATACATCCCCCTTCGACCGTTGGCTGGCAGGTTCGGCAGCTGCTCCAGAGGAGCTCTGACAGCCACGTCATCGCCACGTGTCGCAATCCTGCTGCAGCAGCGGCGTTACAGGAGCTACAGAGTAGCAGCAGCGGGGATCGGCTGACCATTCTCCCCCTGGACGTGACTGATGAGGCGTCCATCGAGGTGAGTGATGGACGAGGTGCGTGAGTGATGGACGAGGTGCGTGGAGAGGCGAGGCGCATTTGATCCGACCCAAAAGTCAAGTTTGAGATCGGCTGACTGGTCTTCCCTGCACGTGACTGATGAGGTGTCTATCGAGGTGGGTGATGGACGAGGCGTGTGTCAAGGTGCGTCAGAGATGAGGTGCACTTATGCGGTGACCAAGAGTCAAGTGGGGGATCGGCTGGCCGTTCTCCCCCTGGACGTGACTGATGAGGCGTCCATCGAGGTGGGTGATGGACGAGGGGTCTGTGGGGGTGCGTGAGAGTCGGTGAGAGGCGAGGCGTCTATGGAGGTGCGTGAGTGGCGCATGCTTCACTCAGGCTGAACTGCACTTTGCGTGTCTATCTATTGGGGTGGGTGGGTGCGAAGCGCTTGCTTCATACGGGGTAAACCGCGCTTAGTGCGTCTATGGAGGTGCGTGAGAAGCGCATGCTATGCTTCACACGGGCCGCACTTAGCTCGTCTATTCTATCATTCTGGGTGAGAGACGAGGTCTGTTACATGTCACACAGGTCAGTCGTTGTATGTGCCTGCTGCAAAAATCGCTTGCTAATGCGTCTGTTTGGCATGGTGTTGCTTATGTGGCATGGTGGGGATGGTGCTTTGTGTCCTGTACATGCCTTGATCACATGCACGCTGGGACGGCATGCACGCTTGCATGGGATGCTGTGCACGCTTGCATGGGACGGCATGCACGCTTGCATGGGATGCTGTGCACGCTTGCATGGGACGGCATGCACGCTTGCATGGGATGGCGCAGGGGCGTCATAACAGGAAGCAGCAGGTCACGTGTCAGCCACGTGGGGGCACCTGAACCTCCTCATCAACGCGTCTGGTCTGCTCCACATACCTGGCGCCATGAAACCAGGTGTGTGATGAAACACAACTGGGTATACAGGAGCACGTGTCAGCCACGTGGGGGCACCTAAACCTCCTCTTTAACGCGTCTGGCCCTGCCTCCTCCTCCTCCTCCTCCTCCTCCTCATCCTCCTCCCCCCTTGATACCCCCCTGTTCCCCCATAAGAATCCTGGAAAGCCATGCGCTTACTCTCAAAACCGTGCTTCCAAGCCTTCACTTTTTTCACCCGTGTCCTCCCATCCTCCCACCCTCCCCACCCCCCTCCCCCCTTTGCCTGCAGAGACGTCCACGAGAGCACTCACTCCACAATCCCTGCTCACCATCCTTCCATCTCCCCCCATTTCATCCCCCACCCCCCCCCCCTTCCTCGCCCTTTGTGTGTCTCTCTCTCCCGTGCTTGTGCACACAGAGACGTCCATGATAGCACTCACTCTACTTGCATTGAATTTTTGGACGTCTTACACGTCGGGCCCCTCCCTTTCCCTCCTCCCTCCTCCCCTCCCCCTTCCCCCCCCCCCCCCCCCCCCTCCCGTGTGTGCAGAGACGTCCATGAGAGCACTCACTCCACATGCGTTGACTTTTGAGATGTCTTAAAAGTCGCCCTCCCTCTACCCCCCCCAAAAAATCCGCGTGAACTGAGACGACTTTTGAGGCGCCTCAAAAGTCATCACATGCATTGACTTTTGAGATGTCTGAAAAGTCGCCCTCCCTCTACCCCCCCACACGGTCCCACCCCCCCCCTCCCGTACCTGCAGAGACGTCCATGAGAGCACTCACTCCGCAAGCCCTGCTCACCAGCTTTCAAGTCAATGCGATGGGACCGGCTCTCGTCATCAAGGTGCGTCTGAGGGAGCTTCTGAGTCGACCCAAGAGTCATGTCGAGAGCACCCACTCGCTCCTCAAGTCTTGCGCACTCACCAGCTTCCAAGACAATGCAATGGGGCGGGCTTTGGTGAGTACAGTGTGCATGGGGTGCCAGTAAAATGCTGTATCCTTGCTTAGATTAGAAACGGGCGCTGCTATCTCGGGTGCGTTTTCGTGAGAAGGAAGCAGTGGTTGCTAGCTATGTTTGAGGCTCCCCGGAAATTTGAGCTTATGGACGTTCTATAACTGAGGTTCCGATATTCGAGGCGCCTCAGAAACATGCTGGTCGTCGAGGTGTCGTGGAAGGTGGACAGGTGGGCTGCGGAGGCAAGTTCGGTTCGAGGCGCCTCTAGCATAGACTGATCATTAATGTGCGTATGGCGTGGTAACAAAGTTCTTAGTCCCTACAGTAAGTGTTTGCGTGCGTGGTGGGGGGACTTCACCAAGGGTTTGTGTGCCAATGTTCCAACAAGTCAGCCTGGCCAGTACAGCACGGTGAGAATGGAGGTATGCGTGTGTGTGTGTGAAGGGAAAGGGTGATGGGAAGATAGGGAGAGTTGGAATGTGAGAGGGGGAGACAGTATAGGAGATAAAGGTGCTGGTAACGCTCTTCGCTCTCATGGGAGATGAAGGTGCAGGTAACGCTCTTCGCTCTCATGGGAGATGAAGGTGCAGGTAACGCTCTTCGCTCTCATGGGAGATGAAGGTGCAGGTAACGCTCTTCGCTCTCATGGGAGATGAAGGTGCAGGTAACGCTCTTCGCTCTCATGGGAGATGAAGGTGCAGGTAACGCTCTTCGCTCTCATGGGAGATGAAGGTGCAGGTAACGCTCTTCGCTCTCATGGGAGATGAAGGTGCAGGTAACGCTCTTCGCTCTCATGGGAGATGAAGGTGCAGGTAACGCTCTTCGCTCTCATGGGAGATGAAGGTGCAGGTAACGCTCTTCGCTCTCATGGGAGATGAAGGTGCAGGTAACGCTCTTCGCTCTCATGGGAGATGAAGGTGCAGGTAACGCTCTTCGCTCTCATGGGAGATGAAGGTGCAGGTAACGCTCTTCGCTCTCGAGTGTATGCCGTCTCTTTCATCCCCCCCCCCCCCCCAATTTGCTCCTTTTCTACTTCGACTCAACTCACAAGTCACCAGGTAGAGCCCTATGCTCTCCAGTGACCCCCGCCCCTTTGTTTTTCCCCCCAACATGTTCCCTTTTTACTCTCATGGGCCGCTCCTTATCAATTCGGACTGGTGACGCGCCTCAAAAGTCCTTGGCTTTCCAGTGTCCAGCGTCCCTTTTGTCCCCCTCCCTCTACCCCCACCCCCCCCCCCCCCCCCCCCCCCCCCCCCCCCCCCCCCCCCCCCCCCCCCCCTCCCTTTTTTGCTACTCTGATTGGCCGCCTCGCTTCGCCTACCCTCTATCCATGGCCCACCTTCCCTGCACCTTCCCTGCACCTTCCCTGCACCTTCCCTGCACCTTCTTCCCGTTTTCTTCACTCCCCCCGTTTCTCTGCTGATTGCGCAGAACATGGCGCCATTGCTCGCAGCAGGAGGGGGCGCAGCGGCAGGGAGAGAGGTGGCAGTGGCAGCGAGCATCAGCGCTCGGGTCTCCTCGATAGGCGATAACAAGTTGGGGGGGTGGCACTCGTACCGTGCATCAAAGGCAGCACTGAACCAGCGTGAGTTGCCCATGTGTATTCTGGAGTTGTCTCATAATACTCCGGCTTGGGGGGTGGTACTGGTACTCCTACCACGCCTCAACGAACGACTGTGCTTAACCAGTGTGAGTGTGCTCTTATGGGCGTAGCCAGGTGACTCTAGTTAATTTTTGAGGCGCCTCAAAAATTGCTCTTGTGAGCGTAGCCAGGTGACTCTAGTTAATTTTTGAGGCGCCTCAAAAATTGCTCTTGTAGGCATAGCCAGGTGACTGTAGTTTCTCCTTTGTGCCCGCTCTTCAAGTTTTTTCTTCACCACGTCTCTCTGCACTGCTGCTGCCGAATTCTAGAGAATGACTCTAATATGTACGGCCATTTGGTTTTTGTGTGGCTCTTCATACTCTCCCTCTCCTTATGCCACTCTTTGTAGCATCCCATCACTCCCTCTTTTCAAGCTCCTCCCATTTCCCTCCTCCCATTTCCCTCCTCCCCTAACCCCCCAGTGGTCCGCACATTCCCTGTTGAATTGGCAGCAGAGTAGCCGCCAGGTTTGGGTATCTCCTTCATGATCTCTCATATTCTTAAGCCCTCCAACACCCCTTCCCCCATCCCCAGTGGTCCGCAGCCATCCCCAGTGGTCCGCCGCACCCATCCCCAGTGGTCCACCACACACCCATCTCCAATGGTCCACACTATCTCCCTTTTATAAAGACGCAGCCAGCTGTTGTGTTTCTCCGTCACTCTCTCCCTCTCCGCATGCCCCTCACCATCACCCCACTCTGATGCATCCCATAACACCCTCCTTCCAAACCAAACCCCTCCCTCGCCCCTCTATGAGCCGTACAATGTCTATCAGATTGGCAGCAATGAAGCACCCAGCCTTGAGGTTTCTCCTTTACACTCCCTCACTTTCTTTAGCCCCTCCCCCACCTTCCTCACCCCCTTATTTAGCCCTTCCTCCCCCTACCCCTCATGTTTTCTTAACCCTTTCCCTTCATTCCTTCCTCCCCTCTTCCCCAATCCTCCTCCCTCACTTTTCCTTACCTTGCCCTCCCACCCCTCCCCCCCAGTGATCCGCACAACGTCCATCGAGCTGGCAGCAAAGAAGCAGCCAGTTTTGCTAGTTGTTATTTATACTTCACCACTTTACCTACCCGCCCCACCCCCACAACCCCCCCCCCCCCCCACAACCCCCCAGTGGTCCGCACAATGTCCATCGAGCTGGCAGCAAAGAAGCAGCCAGTTGCTGCCATCCTCCTCCACCCCGGAACAGTAGACACAGACATGTCCAAGCCCTTCCAGAGGGCCGTGCCGCCCGGAAAGCTCTTCACACGCGAGTTTGCCGCCCAGAAGCTGCTGGGAATTGTGGACAAGGTCACTGCAGGCGATAATGGCAAGTTTTTTGCTTGGGATGGGCAGGAAATCCCTTGGTAGAGCTAGCAAGTATTTTTTTTTTCCTGCCCGTGAATGGTCTCATAAGACTGCAAGGCGGCCCTTCGAGCGTTGGCAGCAACTCCATTTCAATCTGAACAAGTGCATGTATGTATGTAGGTAATGTGGGGTGGGGTTGTCAGTATGGTACTCCTAAAAGTACCGCTAATCCATATACGGTACGTAAGAGCGTCACTGGCCATAGCAGGAGTTGCGTTCTGAGCTACCATACTGAGCATCGTGCAGCACAGGCTTGTACTGAGGAAGGCTTGCAAAAGCCGAAACTAGTTTGCACTGTCCCTGATTCTTCAGTGAAGATCTGATTCGTGGAATTTGTCTCGTTCGTTGTCCTAAAACAAGAGTTAATGAAAGTGAGGCCTCTGCAGCCCACCTGTCTGCTTCTGACAGCTCCATCATCGTGCAGCACAGTCACAAACGCACGAGTTGGTGATCTGACTGATGCCAATGTTGGGGGTAATGCAGCGCAGAAAGAATTGCTTGCTGGCAGGACGGCCAGCAAACGAGGAAGTTCAGTGCAATGGATACGCAAGTGTAACGTAAGTTATCTAAAATCAAGAGCGAGCAATACAGGAACCTTCAAATACTGTAACGTAAGTTACTTAAAAATAGTCAACTTATCACAAAGCTTCTCATAGCAAAGCCTAGCACTTGCGATCACAATATACAGTACCGTATCCGACTCACCTCACCCATGGGCATCAGGCATACGCGTGGCACATGGATCATCCATTTCAGGAATGCTGCTCAGCCCATCCAGGAGCACCCTGCTCATACCATCTGGAAATATACTGATGTCATCCGGCACTGTGCTGATGTCATCTGGGATTAGATGCAAGGCATCCAAGCACAAACTGGCAAAGGGATTAGTTTGCTCCATGACGCAGCTGTTTGTGCTCAGCATGGTACCTGCACTGTTCATGCCACTGCTGCTGCTGCTGCTGCTGCTGACGCTCATGCTGCTGCTGTTGTGTGGGCCAATAGGGTCCACATGTCCTATCTGGTCAGTCCTCCTGTTGTTGATGATGCTGTTGGTCCCACTGCACTGGTTGCACCAACCAGGGCGGCCGCTGCTAGTGCAGCTACAGTAAGTTGATGTTGGTGCAAGGCAAGCACTGTTGCTGTCGATGCGAGCGCTGCTGTTGTTGTGCAAGCTTATAGGGGGTACAGAAAATTGATGACCTTGTTCTGCGTTCAGTCCCTCAGTATAGTCTCGGCTGCCAGTGTTGCAGCCATTGCTGCTGCCCCCACCATCCGCCATCCACAATGCTATCCTCTGTTCAAACTCCACATCTGGATTCCTGTCGTCTTGCTGCCTTCCCCTTGGTTGCCTGGCATCAGCACAGTGTGGTGACACGGCGACGACATTTGCTGCAGTGCCTGCACATGCTGATGTGGCAGAACCGTTGCAGGATGATGTGGCTAAGCGATCAGGTGCTGACATGGCGGAACCGCCACCTGGCCATAGCAAAGTGTGGCTGTGCTGCAAGGATGAGATGGCCAAACGTTGATGGCCGCCCGTGTGCGTGATAGCGCCATGTTCAGCAGTATGAGCGGTTGGCTTAGGAAAATGAGTAGCAATGTCAGCAATGAGAGGAGTTACGTTAGGAAACTGAGCTCTAATGTCAGGAGTTGCATCAGTTAATTGAGTTGTAATGTCAGTAGGAATCACATCAGTAAAATGAGTTGTAATGACGGTAGGTGTCACATCAATAAAATGAGTTGTAATGTCAGTAGGAGTCACATAAGTAGAATGAGTTGTAATGTTTGCAGTGTGAATACTTGAACCTGCGTTCATCTGTGGTGGTAACTGCTCCGTGCAAAAAAGGGACGTGGAGGGCTGCTGCTGTAACCGCTGCTGGTTTTGGTGTTGCTGCTGCTGCTGCTGTTGCTGCTGCTGTTGTTGCTGCTGCTGTTGTTGTTGCTGTTGCTGCTGCTGCTGTTGCTGTTGCTGCTGCTGCTGCTGCTGATGGTGGTGCTGCTGCCGGTGCTGCTGCTGTTGGTGGTGCTGTTGTTGTTGTTGCTGTTGCTGCTGCTGCTGCTGCTGGTGCTGCTGCTCTTGGTTCTGTTGCTGCTGTTGCTGCTGCTGTTGTTGCAGCTGTTTTTGCAGCAGCAGCTGCTGCTGCTGCTGCTGCTGTTGATTATGCTGTTGATGCTGCTGCTGCTGCTGCTGCTGCTGCTGTTGTTGCTGCTGCTGATATAGTTGTTGTTGCTGCTGCTGCTGCTGCTGCTGCTGCTGCTGCTGCTGCTGCTGCTGCTGCTGCTGCTGCTGCTGCTGCTGCTGCTGCTGCTGCTGCTGCTGCTGCTGCTGTGCTTCCAGCACACCTGACCTTAGACTGTCAGCAAAGGCGTTTCCATCTGCTGCTGCTCTTGCTGCTTCCGCTGGTGCTGGCACGACTCCTGCTCGCATATGGGCCATACCAAAGTACGTGCTGTTACTGCTGGTGTTGGTGATGACTGACGCGTCCAAAGGCGGGAGAGGAGGAAGAAAAGGCGGGTGAGTGGTGGAGAAACGGATGGAGGGAGGAGGGAGACGAGGGGGGTGATGGAGCGAGGGGAAGGAGGCTTGTACGCTATTTGGAAAACCTGACGTGAGAGGAGTATGGCAGACAGGAGTATAGAGGGTACGGAGTGTATCTGTGGCAGGAGCAGGAGGCACTGCAGCAAGAGAAAGAGGCGTTGAAGCAGAGGAAGGAGTAGTAACTGTAGCAGGAGGAGGATGCACTGTAGAATGAGCAGGAACTGTGGCAGGAGCGAAAGGCACTGTAGCAGAAGCAAGAGGCACAGTGCCAGGATCGTAAGATGTAGCAGCGGGCAATTGAAGCGGCTCCTGACCTGGTGGTGCCAGCGGTGGGCTGAACTGGAAGCATAGATCTGGGGCTGCATAAGGAGTTGCAGGGATTGCATAAGGAGCTGGGGCTTGCGCTGAGGGAGAAGGCGAGAGATTATTATGGGTTGACGGGAAGTTTGAGATTTCTCTCAGTGCTGTCTGCTCAGCGGCTGCGTTAACAGTGCCTGATAGGCAGGTCGTTGCAGGGAGGTTGTTTGTATAGAGATCGCAGGCAGTAGCAGGGGCGAAGGCTGTAGCAGGGGCGAAGGCTGTAGCAGGGGCGAAGGCTGTAGCAGGGGCGAAGGCTGTAGCAGGGGCGAAGGCTGTAGCAGGGGCGAAGGCTGTAGCAGGGGCGAAGGCTGTAGCAGAAGCGAAGGCTGTAGCAGGGGCGATGGCTGTAGCAGATTCGAAGGCTGTAGCAGGGGCGATGGCTGCAGCAGGGGCGAAGGCTGTAGCGGAGGCGATGGCTGTAGCAGGGGCGATGTCTGTAGTAGGGGCGATGGCTGTAGCACGAGCAACGGCTGTAGCCGAGGCTAAGACTGTAGAAGAAGAAAAGGCTGTGGTGGAGGTGAAGGTTGTAGCAGGGGCAAAAGGTGCGGTAGGTGTTAAGGTTATAGCAGGAGCTAAGGCTGTAGCAGGGGCTAAGGCTGTAGCAGGGGCTAAGGCTGTAGCAGGTAAGGCTGTAGCAGGTAAGGTTGAAGCAGGAGCTAAGACTGTAGCAGGGGCTAAGGCTGTAGCAGGGGCTAAGGCTGTAGCAGGGGCTAAGGCTGTAGCAGGTAAGGTTGTAGCAGGGGCTAAGGCTGTAGCAGAAGAGGGGCCTGCTGGCGTGGGAAGGCCGCTGAAAGATGGAAGCCTTGCGACAGTCGCCTTCGGAGATACTGGAGCGGGCGGCGGGTGGTTATGTGTGCCAAAATATGCCACCCGCACCACCACACGCATCTCTGTCCTGTCCGACCCTGTGTCGTCTTCTTCTGCCCGTCCTGCTACAGCCTCTCTGCTTGTAGCAGCCGGTTTGGCTGTACCTGCAAAATCGCAAGCAGCTGTAGCACTGGCTGTGGCGGGAGCTTTTGCTGTGGCTGCAGCTTTTGAAACAGCTGCAATCTTTGAGACGGCTGCAGATTTTAAGACGGCTGTGGATTTTGAGACGCCGCCTTTCAGCCTGGGGCGGCGCGGATGACGAGCCTCGCCAGCCACTCGATCCTCAATTTTTTTTGCCGGGCAGCCCGTGACGTACTTGGATGAGCAAACAAAGTAGAGCCTGCAGGAAGGAAGGGGATCAGGGGAGCACAGCACATCAGGAGACGATGAGACGAACGTACAGCCAACATGTTGGATGAGAAGGGAATGAGAGGCGACACACATTTGCTTGCCTTGCCGGGGAGAGACAACCAGAACCGACCGCAGCTGATCAGGACCGACCAGAGTTGAATAGTGCCGATCAGAGTCGAATAGTGCCGACCAGAGTCGAATAGTGCCGATCAGAGTCGAATAGTGCCGCTGATTAGAGTCAAATAGCTCTGACCACAGTCGAATAGTGCCGACCAGAGTTGACGAAGTGCCGAACGGACCCAACCCGTGCCGTCCAGAGCCGAGAAGCGTCGACCAGTGGAGACCAGTGCCGTACAGTGCCAAGTAGAACCAACCGAGCCAAGCCGAGCCGAGCCGAGCCGAGCGAGTCAAACTGCGGCATTGCTCACAGCTGTAACGACCTATGACTTGCACCGTACACCCTGCCCCGCCAGTCCATGGCATCATGTACTCCTTGATCGCTTGTGCTTACCAACTCACAAGCTCACTCGTTAGCTCGTGCTTACCTCTTCACAGCCTTACCCACCACTCGCTTGTGCTTACCTCTTCACAGGCTGACCCGCTATTCGCTTGTGAGACGTTTTCTTCCATTTGAATCCATCTACGTCGGGGTTTTGATGCAGCTCAGGCGTCTGCTGCTGCTGCTGCTGCAATGCTCCGGCGTGACATTGCGGCGCCGCGTCCTCAATCTTCCCGTTGGAGTCAGACTGGGGCTCACATTTGACCATCCAACCAGCACTACTAGCACTATCCGCCGCGGAAGGGCCAGCAGCGGCGCCCATGCCAGCACCCCCAGCTGCTGAGTGCATCAACTCTGCTGAATCCTCCGGCGGCGGCGGCGGCGGGTGAATCATCTCCGAGTCGCGCGGTAATTTGACTCGCCAGGTGACAATCGCACAGATTTTAGTAAAAACCTGGATTGAGTCAAACGGTGATAACAGTCGCGGTGGGTCAGGCTGGCTCCGAGGCCGCGACTCGTGTCCGACAGACGCCTTTGGAGGGGCGGCCGCACTACGGGTGACTCACCTGGGTGAGAGGAACGCCGTAAACCACTAGTACTATGGGGAAACGCCCATGTAGTGCGCGAGCGGTATAGTTGTGCAGCAAATTTGCACTCGGGATACTGCCAGTGGAAAGAAGATGTGAAGAATTTGCTAACCCTAGGCTGGTTGAATGTAAGAATTGCGATCCCGTTAGAAATGGAAAACAAAAATCGCGACCTGATCTCCCCCCATGATTCGGCATCCTAAAACCACCTGATGCTTGGATGCTACGGTGGAGCGCGAAGGGCAGTGGGAAGGGAAGAAAACAAAGAATCCGTGTACATTGCGGCGGAATAGCGCGTGAAAGCAGCAGACAAGTGACATCGCACAGTTGTCACGTCGTCAGACCACAAACTGTGGTGCAGAAAGGGGGGAAGCCCGAGGACAGCTGTTTGCTGTCGTCAGTACACCTACAGAGTGTTTTCCCTATGTTTTCGTCGGTGCTCTGTAATCCAGTGGGGAGCCTGGGAACACACATACACCCTGTTTCTCGCTACACTGAACCGCGTAAGAACGCTACTGGTATTCGGCAGTATTCGGAAATTTGCCAATACCGAAACCAGTCCGTCACTAGCAGGCGGCTGTGTGAGGGGAGGTTCTAATAATGCACTTTTCCTACATACCCTAGCCAGCCATTCCAAACTGACTAGGAAACTTTCTGAAACGTGATCCACCACACTGGATAGCGCTGGATCAAAGTTCACTATAACGCAGGTGATAGCACGCTTCCGTATAGGGTGTGATTCTAGTAACAGGGAATCATATATGGCAAAGTTCACAATGGCGAAAACAGGGTGTATACCCCGTTCCCTTCCCTACTCCCCCCTCCCCATCACTTTCACATCACCTCCCGCCCGCACCTTACGATATAGCACGTTCTGCCAAGTTTTTTTTCCTTTTCTAATGTAGTTTCCACCATCGGCCCGTATTCACCATCATAGGGTTTAACTGAACACAAGTACCTCATATTTTGGTAGCTAGGCGATGTGATTCGATGTAGCCCACTAAACTTTTCAACAGGCATGTTAACCTGGAACGGGGCATGATTTTATACAGAGCCCTGATTTTCAGGATTAACATTCGGCTCAACCCTGCTAGATTCAAAGTTATAAATCCCAAATTACTGGGATTCGCCTGAGCAACCCCGCCCCCCCCCCCCAACCACCCCCCCCCCCCCCAAACGAACCGATGACAGCTCTGTCTAACAAGAGTGTGAGATGCCCGTCCGAACGTACTGTACATCTCAGCACTGTACAGTGCTGTAGAACTGTTGTCAGAACAGTGGGAAGCTGCAGCACGGAGGAAAAGGGTTTACGGACGGAAGTGAGGGAACAGCGTTCTGCTGGTGGCTGGTGGGCTCGTTGAGCTGGGGGTTGACATTTTCAAATCGGCCCGGACATACAATGAAACAATCCGAAAAGTTGTCAATGACGAAAGTAACATTCAAAATAACCAAATCTGGCTGTACACCAAAACCTCACTTGACTTCCTCACATCACGGAAATGGTCAGTTTGTTTCAGTCCCACACAACAACACACAAAACAATGAAATGATAAAGCCTAATATTTCTAGCGATCTGAAGAGGCTACTATGATCTATCTCATGGGATTTCCCAGCTCGACGTTGGTCTGGGGGCAGGTGGGACCGACGTCTATGTCGATCGAAGTCGGGGCTTACCGGAAACAAATAAACCCCCTCGGATGGCATGCGATCCGAGGGAGACATCAACCCTAAACGCGCTGCTCGAGGAATTTAGGTTTGGTCCATCCCTGACCAGATGGCATTCCCTAGGGGGTTTATTTTTTTCTTCCCACGGGCAGAGAGCTTTTCCGGGTGGAGTTCGTTGTCCATTTATATATATATATATATGGGTATAACGCACTATACAATGCATTACATCCACAGTTCGTTGTCCGTTGAGATGTATTCACTGGAATGCGTGAAGTTTCGTTCACCCCAGTGCTAGATGTTTCGATCGAAACTTACTGACCAGTGGCAAATGAGGAAGGCTTGGTAAAGAGCTGAGAATCGGGTGTGTTTCATTCTCTTTGATTTGGTGTACAGTTGTTTGGGTTCAGAAGTTGAGTAAAAACTTAAGTTGAGAATTGCTGCTACAGAAATCACATGCAGTCAAGTGGAGCAAGGGTTCAGCTTTTGTGGGCGAGCAAGACACGAAATTTCGTGCACAGCGAAGGCAAAGAAAATACAATCGCACAGAACGGAAATGCATTGTTCGTGAATTGCCACAATCAGCAATGTAATTTTACCGTTACCTTTGCCCCAAGTATACAGTATTCAACAGGTAGCGACACCCGTTCCAAGCCCTCAATCTGTAAGCGTTGACGGTACAGTTGGTGTATTTAATGATACCGTTGGATCTGACAGGACGACAACTGGCTGGCGTTTCTTGTGCACTTGCAAAACGTAAAAGATCGTGCAAAAACATTGTAGACCAGCTACACCATACCTTTGATACACCTTGTTCTCGATAATTTCACACCCCCTATCCTTTGTTTTATAGATACCCCAAACCTAGTCTGGCTCGTAACGACGGACATCCAGAACTTCAGGGACTACCAATCGACCCCACCAAGGTGCAGTCTCTGAAAACCTGTGCAATGTATTTCGAGTGAGGAGGGAGGGGGGGTAAGGTGCTCTGGAATTCTTATTGCTCTCCGCAATTCGCGACATGAGTGCGGGAAAGTTCCATAGATAATTCGACATACGCCGTAAACTACCCAGCAAAAATGTTGCACTCAGGGTATGTACCCACATGGTGTGCATTTAGGGGGTGTGCAATTATCTAGAACAAGGCGTAGAATCTCCGATCTGGTGAACGAAGGGGCTTGTTGGTTTCTTTGAGGCAACTCTACATGTCACTCGCCCTAGAAAACAGCTAGAATTGCTGTATAGAATGGGGCGACAAGACGTTGGATTCTGAATGTGAATGACAATCATAAGGGGAAAAATCAATAAGACACTAAATTATGTTTCTAGCTCAAAAATCGTTCGCCTTTAGTTCCTTCTTGTTCGAGCCCGACTAGACCTCGGCGGTGTTTGTGTCCCCCTAGCTCAGACGAAAATGGTTTCGAGGGAGTTTCCTAACTCCACCTTCATATATGTGTGCAACACAATCACATCAAGCCAACCATTTCCGAGTAAGCTATCTAAGGCAAAGTATACGCAAAGTTGCCAACTCCGAATAGACTATGGGAACCCCTTATGATGTTTCCTTCATGTACAATCCATACTCCGCGCCACTCCCAACTCTAGCTTTTGATGTTAACAATGCAATAGATACGAGTATTTCACTCCGATTACTTTAGCGTCCGTGCCTTCATCAAAGAACATAAATATCGCTAGTAACCTTCTGCGCGTTCGACGAAGCCTGAGAAACATGGACCATGTGGAGCTAAACGAGATGATAATAGTTTCACACGATAAGGGCTGGCATGTAGACGTTGCCTGCGGAGGTCGAACGCCTCAGCGCCGAGCTACGCCAAGCCGTGGTAAAGCGCCCGTCGTGGATGAAGCAAGTAAAAGCGCTGCCCCGAATAAGGACGCCTTCAGCGTATCCGAAGGTTCAATGAATGTTACGGAAGATAGACGAGCACCACGGTCGAGAGCGCTACATGAGCGCTGGCAACAGTATCAGCAACGGTACCAGCGTTAGACATAGTCTCAACAACTGACAAGTTAAAGCCGACAAACTCGCCTCTTCGACCCAAGTGACAAGCTCGTCACTATTTCCGGGTGATTGTTCAGTGTAGAGGTGTTCTTTATTGCTGCACAGATTAACGACGATACCGCCCATACTAATTTTGTGTTTTCACTATTGAGTGTAACTACATTATAGTGGTGGCGACGTACGCTAAAATCCGAGAGGACTTCGACAGGAACAAAACGTGCGAACGACGGAGCTTCAATACATGTCACACAATGAGCAACGTCATCGAGATGGCTACAGTACTCACATAGAAGAAGTGGGGCGCCGCATTGCGAACTAGATTCGAGCATCTATTCACCTCGGATTCCGCTCACATGAAGCTGCGTGCCTGGAAGCAGTTCACTTCGGTCCACGACTAAACAGTAACATTTTGCAATTTGGCCTATCTAGTGGACGACATTAGCGACGCAGATCTACTCGACAGATACACCTCAAATATGAGATACAATTACAGGTGTTTCGGCTTATAGTCCGACGGGTTGAGCCGAAGCGCGTGGACTGTATGCCGAAATTTTCAAACCCCAGGCAAAACGCGATATTTATAGTCCCGTTCAGACAATTTACATGAATAGTGGTTTGTTTGCTAAAATGTTTGGTTTTTGGTCTTTTTCTTAAATTTGGACCGCGCTGGCTTCAACTTCTTGTCACACGCTTCCACGCGCTGATCAATTTCGCATGACCAACGGGAAAAAAAAAAAACAAAATAAACTATGGTTTGGGGGTCGATTAGAAGGTAAAAACTTCTGTTTTACCCTGTAAACGAGATAAACGTGATGTCATCGTCGAGCGCGCTGGAGACCGCGCAACAGGATTGAGAAGTGATCACGGTCAAGAAAAACAATTACTTAGAATTTGGAGGTTAAATGTCGAATCGATGATCCCTTATCTATAATTTTCTCCGGATGTTGGGATGGTTCAATTTGGAGCCTCTGATTGGCTGCGGAGCTGATTCGTGCAATGATTCGGTCAAGCCTCAAAATTTCCCACCAAAGATGGGACTATAGGGGTCGGGACAACCCTAGGCAATATCGGAAAATTCTACTCAAGATGGAAAATGGACTCATCTAGCAATGGCCTTTAACC